TCCTCATGGCTTGCTCAGTCTGCTTTCTTATAGAACCCAGGCCCACCAGCCTATGGTACCATCCACCATGGGCTATCCCCCACCCCCCATTAATCACTAATTAAGAAAATGTTCCAAGGCTTGCCAATAGCCCTATCTTAATAAGGCATTTTCTCAGTTGAGGTTCCCCCTTTCAGATGACTTCAACCTGTGTCAAGTTGACATAAAATCACCCAGGACAGAGGTTCAGGAATTCAGTCATCTCCATAACAAGTTCAAAGGCCTACATGAAACCTTGTTAAAAGAAAAGAAAAGAAAAGAAAAGGAAGACAACAGCCAAGATGTAGAACCACCTTAGTTGCCCATGAACAGATGGCTGGGTTTTTAAGATTGGCATTTGCACAACAGTATTTTATTTAGAAATAAACAATGTTAAGTTCCCCCTCCCCCCAAAATCTGAACCTATTATTAAACATTCTATATGGCTGATAGATGGATAATAACAAACAAAAAATTTCAGTGATTGTGGTGAGTTGAAATAATACAGGTCCACTGCCAAATTATCTCCTGCTATCTCAACTCCCAAAATTTATTCATTGCCAACCTTTTGTGTTTGTCCTAGCATCTTTTGGATATGTACCACCAGCCCTTTAACTTCCCCCCAACCCAAAAGCTAAGGTCATCACATAGCATCTGAGGCTACAGCAAAGATTTCTCCCTTCTAACCTGCCTACCTGGGCTTTCCACCAATGCATTTAACTTGCTTATTTATACTTCTCTTCATTCTGTAACAATTAAAACTTTGTCAAACTCTTGCCATGTTGGCACACAGTATTTGGGGCAGTCTGAATCTGCGTTTCAGGGTGTGGTCTCCCACACACTGAGATCTTCTTTCATTTACAGTAAGAGCTATGCTTAGACAAGAAGAAAGGTGGAAATAGAGAAGGAAGGGTAAAACTGAGCAAGATTTACTGCTTGTTTTCTCTCATATGCAGGATCTAGATGTGTTTGAAGTATGTGTACATAGTAAGGACGTGGAATGCATACACCATAGATAAATCTCAAATTATGCTCCAAGTGAGAGAACTCAAGTACCAAGGGCTACATTATACACACACATAACATTTATGTCACAATCTAGGAAAGGCAAAATTATAGTAGTCTAAAAGCAGACAACAGTTGACCAGGTACAGAGTACAACTTCCTCCAGAGGCTCCGATGGTGGCTTTTAGACTAGCTAATTGTAGCAATGACAAGTTTCCTTTCTATTGTTTCTCAGACTACCAAGCAATTCCTTGTTGTCAAAAAGATAAGCTAGAATGTGATGTGGCTACCACTAGAATTTAGAAAACCCATACAGGGTTTAAAATGTGAGGTATGATTAATTCCTAGCAATGAGACTTTTAGATTTTTGTTTTGTTTTGGCTGCCCTGGAACTTGATTTGTAGTCCAGGCTGGCCTCAAACTCATGTAGATGTGCCTGCGTCTGCATCCTGAGTGCTGGGATTAAAGGCATGAGCCACCACACCATGAAACACCTTAAAAGCAATAGTACTATCACTCAGCTTAAGTTATAGAATAAGAATTTCAAAGCTAGTTAGGGGCAAGTTGTATGTGTGCGACACTGGATAAGTAAGTCATTTCACCCCTGTGCTTAATTTCTTTATCTGTTATGTGGATATGATAGCATCTGGGGTCTTTTCCTACTAGGATGAGACCTTGCCTTTTGACTAAAGTTGTTAAAGGTAACCTGGCTGAATCAATCATTTTATAATTCCACAGTGGTTGTTAGTACAGGAATGGAGGTCATCCATCTTGTTGAAGTCATTCTCTCAAGATGTTCAGTTGGGATCAGAGTTCTCCCTGGCCCTCATGCCTGCATTCTGCATAAACCCTCATGCTTCCTCATCTCTCACCGGTTCTCCCTCTGCCTCTTGGTATTTCTAAACTCCAGGCATGCTTCTGCTTACGGAGACTTGCTTCCTCTCTGTGGCTAACTCCTTCATCTCTGCTCAACTGTCACCGTTCCCAAAGATCTGTCTGGACTATCCTACCCAACATGGCAACCCTATCCTTCTCCGCTCCTGATCTCTTAATTTCATCTATAATTTTTTGTTTTTTTTTCTTTTTTTAGTTTTTCGAGACAGGCTTTCTCTGTGTAGCTTTGGAGCTTGTCCTGAAACTCTCTGTAGACCAGGCTGGACTCAAACTCATAGAGACCTGCCTGCCTGTGCCTCCTGAGTGCTGGGATTAAAGGGATTTTGTCTGTATAGTTTGTTGGTGTGTTCTAGTTGTCCAGAGCAATGCTAAGCGAGTTCTAAGTACCCAGTAAACACTCCCTGCCCTTCCTCCAAGACTAGAGTTACATGTGTGCCAAGGCCCACCCATGAAGGTCCTCCCCAATGCTCAGCAAGCATTCTTGTCCATTGAGCCATGTCCTCAGCTCTATGTAGTTGCTGTTGAGACAGAGACTTACTGTATCAACCAGGCCATCCTGAACTCAAGGTCTTCCTGCCCCTGCCTCTGTAAGTGCTAGGATGCAAGAAAAAAAAATTTTTTTAAAGAATTTGGAGCCAGAGGGCAATGGCACACACCATTAATCCCAGTATTAGGTAGGCAGAGGCAAGCAATCTCTGAGTTTGAAGTCAGCCTGGTCCACAGAGTGAGTTCCAGGACAACCAGGACTACCCAGAGAAACCTCGAAGAAAGAAAGAAAGAAAGAAAGAAAGAAAGAAAGAAAGAAAGAGTTTGTGTTTAGCTTTGAAATTTGCAGAGATGGAAAAAATATTTTTCAGGAAGCAATATTTAGTGAAGGCTGAAGAGGAAGTAAAACAGTGAATCAGAGTGATAATTTTTGGCTGTGGAGAGATGTAGAAATCACAAGCCTGATGCGGTCAGGACCAAATTTCACAATTTGGGTATGTAACAATCGGATGTCCAGGACAAATTTTCTGGAATGGGAAGGGCATTGGCCAAATGGGCCTTAAAACAGTTGATGCTATTGCCTAACCATGGCAAGATTGACTTTAGAAGAGGAAGTTTGGGCAGGGCTTCCTCTCAGTATGGGTAAGACTTCTGTCTGATAGCTACTGCTTCCCAGGCTGAGGGATGACTGAGTGGGACCAGGTCACCAGAACCAGAGTTGACCAAGTGACACACTGGAAAGAGTTTTATCGATGAAATCATGTGTCAACAGACTCCCAACTCTGTTACCTGCATGTGACCTTGAGCCAGTAACTAGAAATGAATGGGGGAAAATAGTGCATTAAAAAAAAAAAACTTGTGTGTGTTAAATTAATTTTTTAAATGGAAAAAATTGTGTGTGTGTGTGTGTGTGTGTGTGTGTGTGTGTGTGTGTGTCCTCTCATGTCACAACACACACACATGGAGGTCAGAAGACAATTTCCCAGAGTCAACTCTCTTCTTCCACCCTTCTGTAGGGTCTTAGACCCAAACTCAGACACTTACACAGCAAGTGCCTCTAGCCATTAAGCCATCTTGCTAGGCCAATCTGAACACACAAATCTAATTGATTAAACGTAAAGCCCTGTTTGTATCACCACCTTCTATTGCTAATTGCTATGAGAAAAGCCTTCCCCACAAATCTTAGAAGCACAAATCAAAGCTGGGCCGTGGTGGTGGTGCCTTTAGTCCTAGCACTTGAGAGGCAGAGGCAGAGGCAGGCAGATCTCTGAGTTCAAGGCCAGACTGGTCTACAAAAGCCAGTTCTTCGACAGCTAGGACTACACAGAGAAACCCTGTCTCAACACACACACACACAAACCCTTTCTCAACACACCCCCACACACACACACACACACACACACACACACACACACACACACACAATCACAAGTCATCCATCATGGACATAAAATACATCTCTTTTACCCTCTGTTTCAGTTCCATAAGTCTTGACAACTGTGGGATGTTTTCACCAAATACTCTGTTGACAGGATGGAGCATGTTTTTCTGGGCCAACAAGTTATTTAGAGCTTGGACTTTAGAAGCTGTCTGTCATTTCTTAGCTCTTCCTTTCCTCCTCCCCATCTTTGTACTTAACTTTCTTACACCTGAAATTTGTTAAATGTGTCAGTATTTGTGAAGTCTTTAGAACAAGTGGCCTGAACACAACAGGGCACTTTGTTTGCTAAGAATACTTCAGTTTATCAGATTTCCTGTTTGCTTTCTTTTGGTGCTGGGGATTACCCACTGGGCCTCAAGCTAGTATTCTATGCCTAAGCAAGGTCACCTGCAGCTGTTGAACTCACCACTAAGCATCTAATTCGTACTGCTTGGTGTTAAAATAACCTAGCTGTAGATGTGTCTTGGTTTCTGAAAAGGTGTTGACTTTTTTACTAGCAGTGGTCATTGTACTAATAATGTGTGGATAAGGGTTTATGAGGAAGCTTGAGTCTTGCGCCAAAATGACTTAAAGCAAAAGAAAATGCCCATCATTTGGGCACTAACCAGTAATTAGTAAAACTCCTGTCTATTTGGAAATAAATCTGGCATCTTAGGGTGGTCCACTGTCAGCCAACTGTGAATTTGTGAAATGCAAAAGGACAGAGCTGGCAATCAGTGCAGGATCTTCCAGTTAGGCCAGTCCTTTGTCCCTTGTTTTCTGCACTGCAATGGTACTGGCCGCTTCGTTGCCTTTTAGGTACTTTTTACAAGCTTACAGCTTGGAGTGTTTGAAACCCAGCAAAAAGTACCTGTTTAGAGGAAGGTACCTGCAGTCCACCAGAAGACCCTTTAATCTGGAGTGTGGTGGAAGCTTTATTAGCCCCAGGTGCCCTCTTAGCCTGGCCTGGACTACATACAGCCTTCACTCCTGCTTAACCACAGCTCTGAGTTTTGCTTCTCTAATAACTCCGCCCTTTCGGAGAAACACTGGGGCGGGTTGAGGGCGAACGCACATATCATTGCGCTTGCGCAATGGGCCGGGCGCTAGTGCCCCAGGGAGGCCAAACTCCGGGGGCCGATGGCCAGCGCGCCTGCGCAGTAGGCCCGCATGGCGCTGCTGAATGGACTTGCCTCCGGGGCTGTGCCGTCAGTGCGGCTGCGCGCGAGCCGGGTGCCGCGGTACTTAAGTTGGCTGCACACACTGTCAGAGGTAGCCATGAGGAGAGCAGATCCCGAGCAGCCCGCTAAGCGGCCTCGCTGCGACAGCAGCCCAAGAACGCCACAGAGAACCCCTCCTGCAGCGGCCAGCGCGTCTCCCGGCTCCGAGCTCCACATCGACCTCCAGACCTGGGAAGTGGAGGACGTGTGCTCCTACCTAAAGGGATGCGGCTTCCAAGACAAGAAAGTGCTGGACAGCTTCAAAGGTAACGGGGCTGAGGGGAGCACCCACGCGAGAGGCATCCGCAGGGGGAGGCTCACGGATCGGAGGCCCCGGGGGGCGGCTCGCGGCGGGAACCGGACCTGAGGCGGGAGGCGCCCCGACGCCAGCCGTCCAGGCGGGCTGCCCGAGGTGGGCGCAGGCCAAGTGTGAGCCCATAGGAAGGTGCTGGCTCTGGGAGCTTTGAGGGGCCCTGGGAGGTTTGCGTCTTCTTCTGGTGGATGGGTGCCTTCGGGAACTTGTCACTTCTGACAGGAGAGATCCCCGCCCTTCTTAGATTTGCCCCCCAGACCTCCGGCAGCCGCTTGCGGTCTTTCAGGCTTGCCAGGCTGGGGACAACCTCCTGTGCTAACCGCAGCTCCCAAAACACTTGACCCCAAGAGAGGTTTTGGCGCTTTTAAGTTTCGCTTCTTAAGCCGTTCCCGGATTTTGGGGTTTTCCTTAAAGGGGAGGGAAGTTGGTTAATCTCCAGATTCTCACTGACTGCCATAGCATCCCAGTAGGGCTCAGTTTGTGCTGACTGCATTTGCCGAGTGCCACTGATCAATTTCTCTTCCAAAATAAAAACAACTTACTCAGTTGGCCACTGAAACCCCAGCATTCCACAACTTGGCCACGCAAAGGGGAGGGTACAGGCTGAGAATTTTAAGTGACTCTTCTGACATTTGCTCATGCTCCAGTCAAACACTTGTAATCTACTCAACTTGTTTGTGGTAGATGTGAAGCCTAACCCCTTGCATGATCCCATGAGGTGTTCGCTGGGAACGTGGCTCTTCGGTGGTTATGATTTGCAAATTCAGTAAACTTTACTTCTTGTGGGGCGGAGCCCTGTATGCCTAATTGAAGGACAGAGTGAGAAGTTTAAAGTTCAGGACATAAAGATAGTTTAATGCAGAAACTCGGGTTTCTCTTTTTCCCTTCCCCACTTCACCCTCTACAGGAAGGTAACTTGCGGGGGCGGAGTACTAAGACAGTGTCTCTATGTAGCTCTGGCTGTCCCGGTACTCTCTATGTACAGACCATGATGGCCTCGAACTCAGAGAGCCACCTGTCTCTGCCTCCTGAGTACTGGGATTAAAGGCGTGCGCCACCACACCTGGCAATATTTTATTTTAATCTTATAGGTGTGAGTGGTTTGCCTGCATATGTGTATACGCACCGTGTGTGTGCCTGGTGTCCTTGAGGCCAGAAGAGGGTAAAGCTCCCTCTAGAACTGATGTTACAGGTGGTTGTGAGCTTCCATGGGGGTGCTGAGAACTGAGTCTGAGCCCTCTGCAAGAGCAGTGAGTGCTCTTAACCTCTGACTCATCTCTTCTGGCTTTATTTTTGATTGTCTTTTCAATGGAGTGAAGATGGAGAATGTATCACATGAGTGTAGTGCCTACAGAAGCCAGAAGACACCATCCAACCCTCTGGTGTGTTAAAGGCTGTTGTGAGTGGCCTAAAGTTAGTTCTAGGTACACAAAAGAAGTGTGTGCTCTTAACTGCTAAGCCATCATCTCTCCAGCCCTAGATGATGTTTTTATATCCAAAAATGTTAAGTAGCTTTCCAAAGTCACACCAACTAGACAAAAGATGCAGAGTTGGAATTTTTAGAGGTTAGGTCTTTAGATTCCAGAATTCATTCCGGTTATTTCTTAACTAGTGTTCCCGATAAAAGTGACAGGAGAACATATCCCTGTAATCCTACTCTTTGGGAGGCTGAGGCAAAATAATCAAGACTTCCGGTCCCAGCCTTAGGTCTTTAGCCCATCCTGGGCTACATATGGAGAACATAACCAAAATTAGAAAATCAACTAAAAGCCATGGCGGGAAAATCTATCCTGTAGAATAATGAGTAAAATATCAAGAGACCATTAACAACCTACCAATAAACTTAAGTAAAGCAGTTCCAAACCTAATAGTAATTTTTAAAATATACTGGGTTTTAATTTAATAATTAGAAAAGATTATTAGTAGATGAAATATGTATTTCAATAAAGTTGATAGACATGTCCATTATCTCAACCATGGACTGTTTGGCAATGCCTTTTGACTTATAGCAAATAGTGATGACTAACATTTATTAAGTATATTCTTTGTATGAAGTTTTGCTATATTCATTTTACAAGCTTTTGGGGGAAGGGGAATTTTTGTGTGTAAGTATATAATATGGAGGATGAGATCTAGGGCTTTGTTCGTGCTATGTGTAGACTCTATCACTGAGTCACACATACCCCCATGCCGGATATATTTTATTTTATAAAATGTTACAACAGGGGCCAGGGAGATGGCTCTGTCAGTAGCCATGCAGACATGAAGACCTGAGCTCTGAATTCCAGCACCCACACGTAAAGTTGGGTTTAATGGTGCATACTTATAACCCCAGAGGTGAGGAAGCAGAGATAAGTAGCTCCCTGAGCACTCTATCTGAATTGTACACATAAACTGATACAAGCACGAATAAACATAAATAAAAAATGAATAAATCCTAGAAAAATACCAGGCAGAGGAGTAATTAAGGAAAATACCTGACATTGACCTCCAGCTTCCGACAAGTACACACAAGTGCACACACATATAAAATGCATTAGAATTTGTGTATATTGTAAAATACAAAGTAGCCATTAAGAAAGATATAGATGAGCTGGAAAGATGACTCAGTGGTTTAGAGCACTTGTTGCTCCTTCAGAGGACCCTGGTTTGATTTCCATCACCCACGTGGTGGCTTAAAACCATCTGTAACTCCAGTTCTGGAGGATCTAGTGTCTTCTTCTGTCCTTCACTGGCACCAAGCACCCATGTGGTACCCATATGTATATGCCAGCCAAACACTCATACATACAAAATTAAATAAATAAATCTTGTTTTTTAAGAGGAAGATGTAGACTTTCATCATTGAAAAGAACTATGTTTAGAATATTGAATGAGAAAAAATTGGTTATATGACAATCTTTTATATGTAAAACTACATAATTGTATGTAAATAAATATGTTACCTCAAAATGTTAACAGCTTTGTGTGCTTTCAAAGGATGCTTTAGAAATAAAACGCTGGGTACTCTTCAGTCTGGTTTTAGTCCAGTGATTCTAAGAAAAATTAATGTCTTTCTCTAACCCCACCCCTAGCCCTGACTTAATATACAGGAAGCTGCTGACCTGGCAGGACCTCACAAGCAGTTAGGTTTCACTTTACTTTTCCCTTGCTTTTCTCAGAAATAATTTACATGAATAATTTATAGATGTTCATCTGATTCATCAAAATAGTTAAGTTAGTTACCTAATTAAGAGTTTTAATTTTAATTAGAATGTCAAAAGTATGTTACAGGCTGAGGATATAGCTCAGTCATAAAATACTTGCCTAGTATGTGCAAAGACCTAGATTCAATCTTTAGGAACATTTTTTTTTTTTTAAGTTATGAACTCTGGAACTCTGGAGGCTCTCGGAGATAAGACCAACCTAGCTATGTGGCAAGCTCTGTCATAAAAAAAAAAAAAGAGCCCAGGCATGGTGGTTTACTTCCTCCCTGTACTTGGGAGGCAGAACAAGTAGATTTTTATGAGTCTGAGGCCAGCCTGGTCTATATAGTGAGCTCCAGGATGACGAGAGCTACATAGTGAGATCCTGACTCAAAAAACCTAAATAAATAAAATAGGAAGGGAGAACGAGAGATAGTTCAGTGGTAAAGGGTGATTGACTATAATCATGAGGACTGGAGTTCAGATCTCAGCACCCACATAACAAAATGAGTGTTTCCTGTGAACTCCAGCAATCCATCTCTAAGGTAGGAGGTAGACAGGAAGAGGATGGCTGGTGATTGCTGACCTCCAACCTAGCCATGCTCCAGGTTCAGGAAAGAGCCTTGTCACAGAATAACCGGCAGAGAGTAATGGAAGAAGACACTCAGTGCCTTCCATGTATCAGTACTGGTACACACCACACACACACACACACACACACACACACACACACACACACAATTAAAAAATATACTAAATATAAATTATATATTTAAAATATTTTTAAATTTTTTATATTTTATAGAATATACACACACACACATATATATGTTTTTTCAAGACAGGGTTTCTCTGTATAACAGTTCTGGCTATCCTGGAACTCACTTCATAGACCAGGCTGGCCTTGAACTCACAGAGATTCGCTGGCCTCTGCCTCCCATAAACACTATGCTATTTCATACTGGGACATGAATGCATCATATATATATATATATATATATATATATATGTACATATATATATATATATATATATATATGATGCATTCATGTCCCAGTATGAAATAGCATAGTGTTTACATCTAACCTAGATACACCCATATCTGTGTACTTGAAGTCATTTCTGTATTACTATAATGCCTCATATCATGTAAATGGTTGTCGTACCATATTTTTACAAGTCAACTACAATAACGGACAGAAATGTTTGCATGTTCAATACAGATGTAGGGTTTTCTGAATTATTTTCCATTAATACCATAAATAGGAATCTGTGGCTACTGAGGGCTGGCTGTAGGTCATAAGATTCACTGCCTGTAATGGGTTCTTACAAGCTGAGTAAATTCTGATAGATTCAAACTGAAAGAAACTGGAAAACATGCTATAAATATTGAGTTTGCTTTTTCCTCTTCCACAGAAAATGAAATCACTGGTCCATTTTTGCCCTTTCTCGATGAGTCACGTCTTGAAAAACTTGGAGTAAGGTAAGAATAGTGAAATTCACACTTAGACCAGATACATTATTCACCTTTCAGAGACAAAGCTCAAGATCTTGGGTTTTGCCCAAGATCCTCAGCTCAATACCATGCCGTGTTTTAAAACAGAATCCCTTGCCTGCTGTTTTTGATGTACCTTGTGTTTAGTTTTACATGTGGTTTCTGTTTCAAAGGGCTTTGCTGACAAGCGTTCATGAAGTTTGTAGAGACCAACTTTTTACTCTCCAATTCAGAATAGGTGAATTATATACACTACAATTTCTATATAGGAATCAGCAGGAAAAAATAGCAAGAAAGTCAAAGTTACCATCCTATCTATTTGTAGCTTTTCCTAAAACTGAAGACTGGGATGTGTCTGAGTATGTATTGTCCCTTTATAGCTTTATACACACACATGTAGATATCTTTGTGTATGGCTGGAGGTCCTAGGGTCTGTTAGAGCTCAGACCCCTTTAAAGATCTTAGCTGAGTATTCAGTGTTTATGTGTGCTTTAAAATGTAGCTTTTCTTTCAGAATTGGCAACAGTTATTTAATGTTTGTGGTAACAGTAACTAAAGAATAACAACAAAGGCTTATTCTGAGTTACTTGAAATAGATTGTGAATGAGCATCAGCAAAGAGCATTAGCTGTCCTTTAGAAACTGCCCTTGGGAGCTCAGTCTTAGGGACTTTTACTTTGTTTCTTTCATACCCATTTTAGCCATCTAAGCCTTCCATTCATCACCTTATTACCTGTGAACTGGTGGACTTTCTTCAGAGCTCTTTTCAAAGACCTAAATGCTATTGACTTGTTTAGTAGATATTTATGGGAGCCTCATTTGGTTCTAGGCACTCCTCTGGGAACTTGGGGCACATGGTGAACAAGATAGACAAATTCCATAAGGAACACTACTGTACACTATATGTCTTGTACCCTGCTTTCTGCCTCTGAGATGAAGTCTGTGAGACTCTTAGACTTGCGTCAGCCTGTAATGTTAGCACCTGTTATGTGTTTAAATTACCTAAAATTTGATTAAATCAGGGCCGGAGCTGTGGCTCAGAGGGTAAGAGCACTTACTGTTCTTCCAGAGGACCCCAGATCAGTTCCCAGTGCCCACATTGGGTCTAATGCCCTCTCTGGCCTCCACATATAGTAATATCCTCATGTGCACAAACACATACACACACACAGACACACAATTAGAAATAAAATCTTTCAGTTAGATGAATTAAAAAATTTCTAGTTCTTCTGTTGGATTATCTACATTTCAAGTGATCAGTAACCACTTGTACCTCCTTGCCACTGTGTTACACAGGGCAGATAAGGACACTGGCAATTGCAGAAAGTTCTGGGAGTCAGAGGATACCAATGACATCATCCAGTGAGCCCATGGTACTAGCCCAGCTTGCTGCTGTGTGGTCATGCTTTTCTCTCTCTCTCTTTAATTTTTCCCTGTTCCCCAACTCCTGTTTCCAGCATATAAACTCCTAAATAAATTTCCTGTATATAAGCTCTTGTGTTGGACTTAGCATTTTATGGGGAATCCTGTTCAGTCGAACACTTTCTGTATTCCTTCAACTTTTGGTTAAATGCTGACTTTTGAAGGTTTTTCCAGAAAGTGAACATTGCTATATGGAATGTACACATGATGATGGCTCATCCTGTAACTCTAGTACTTGGGAGGACTGTTGTGAGTTCCAGGCCAGTATAGGCTACAGAGACCACACACACACTAAGTTCTAAGGCATATTAAATTTATTCCTTTTTAATTAATCAGCTTAATAATATCTCTGTATATCCTGAGAACCACCCCTAGATTTTGTGATTGCTGTTTCAGTACAGCAAAGAGGCCAATTGTATTTCTGACTTCAAGTCTATTAAGACTTTTAACAAGACTTTTTGTTCAACCTGATTAAATAGTAGATCAGTCAGGGATATTAGTATCCACCTGCTGCTGTTTTTGTTAACATTTCAGTCAGGTGTGTTTCTATTATGTGTCAACCAATGAGCAATCGAATATGAAACAGGATATTATAAGATTCTGAGCTGTTCAAATACAGTTCCCATGTGATTATATCCCCAGCTGGAGCATTGTAGATAGTGGAAGATGAAGGACAAAGCTAAACCCTTCGTAGATACTAGTTCATACCTGGCATTCACCAGTCAGTGTAGGATTGTGAAGTGTATGTTGACTTCAGTTTGGTTAAAAAACAGATTTGAAATAGGAAGTGAGCATTCAGTAGAGGTGGAGGAGATGCTGAAGTCTAAGCGAGAAGAGGCTCAAGAATAGGAGCCCAGGTGGGCCCCCTTGGTTCAGCAGAAACCTCTTTAAGCAAGTGCATCAAAATGCCAAACTAGACCACTCTAGGTAGGAAGACAGTTTACTGTGGGACAAAGTACTGGGCTGCCTCAGAGAGTACAGAGCAGCATCCTGGCGGGAAGGCAGGTGGACTTTATGTGACAGTCAGCAGGGCGGGGGCTCTGAGCTGATGTAGGCTGTTCAGGTTAAATGGGAACTAGTAGCCAGGAGGTGGTGGCTCACACCTTTTTTTTTTTTAATCTTATTTATTTATTATGTATACAACATTCTGCTTCCATGTATACTTGCACTCCAGAAGAGGGCACCAGATCTCATAACAGATGGTTGTGAGCCACCATGTGGTTGCTGGGAATTGAACTCAGAACTTCTGGAGGAGCAGTCAGTGATCTTAACCTCTGAGCCATCTCTCCAGCCCTGGATCACACATTTAATCCCAGCACTTGGGAGGCAGAGGCAGGTGAATCTCTGTGAGTTCAAGGCCAGCCAGAGCGAGTTCCAGGACAGCCAGGGCTGTTACACAGAGAAATCCTGTCTCGAAAAACCAAAAATAATAAATAAATAATCAAACAAACAAACAAATGGGAACTAGAAGCACTTGCCCCCATCAGCTGACCATGGGCATCAGGGAAGGGAAGTGGTGGCTTTCCTGACAGACAGAAACCACAATATGAAGTTTCTGAGGAATTCAGAGTTGAGGTACTGTTTACCTGGTAAGAATCTGGCCTGAATTGGGCTTGAGCCCACCATTCTAGGAAATTGTCAGCAGTGCTCCCCATTTTGGGGCTTGCCTTGTGACCTAACATTTCTAGGAGTGTGTTTGAATTACTGATTTTCCTTCTAATCTATTGTTTGTTTTTATTGGTGCAGATACTGTAGAGCTGGTCATATGCTACCAATACTCCTGGAATTATTATTAATCAAGTACTTATATATTTACTTATGTTGTTTCAATTTTATTTTAGTTCCTTGGAGGAGAGGAAGAACATGATTGCATGTATCCAAGAACTGAGTCAATCTCAAGTAGAGCTAATGAAGGTAAAAGGAATCTGAGTATATAAACAGCATTCACTTTATATACATAGTACTGGATCATAAGATATAGCTTACAACTTTGATTTATGATACCATTTAGTGTGTGTGTCTGTGTGTGTGTGTGTGTGTGTGTGTGTATAAAGTGTCACAACCCACATGTAGTGGTCAGAAGACAACTTTTGGGAGTCAGTTCTCTCCTACCATGTGGGCATAAGGGATAGAACTCAGGTCATTAGGATTGGCCTCAGTGTCTTTACCCACTGAGCTATCTCTCTATCTGTGATATTATTTTTGGCAATCATCTAATTTGACACAAAAGCCTAGTAACCTTCAGCCATTAGAATAACTTTTATGTATTAGTATTTATTTATTTATTTATTTATTTATTTATTTATTTATTTATTTTTGAAGGGAGTATCTTACTATCTAGCCCTGGGTGTCTAGAAACTTGCTGTGTTGACCAGGCTGACCTCAAACTCCGAGATCCACCTGCCTCTGCTCCCAAGTGCTGAGATTAAAGACATGCACCACCACATCCAGCAAGTTTTTTGTTTAGTTTTTACTTAATTTATTTTTATATGTATGATTGTTTTGCTTGCATGTATGTGTACCACTTTCTTACATGATGCCAGTGGAGGCCAAAAAAGGGCATTGGATACCCTGGAACTGGAGTTACAGATGGTTGTAAGCTGCCGTGAGTGCGGTGCTGGGAATTCTTTCTATGCTTTGACCCTAGTACTCTGGACAGATTCTACTGTTTCTCCCAGAGTGCAGAAATAGTTCCTGACTGACTTCTTACTCTGCTTGGCATATATAGTAACTGAACAGTTAATGGGATTGTATTATCTTGTGCATTAGTAACAGACTAGGATATCATACAGCCACTACAAATCATAAGCAGACCATGTGACTGTGCAAGGAATCATTTATATCAAGTAATCATAGTAAGAATAAAAGTGACCACTGGGTGGTAGTGGTACATAGCTTTAATCCCAGCACTCAGGAGGCAGAGGCAGGCGGATCTCTGAGTTAGAGGACTGCCTGGTCTACAGAGTGAGTTCCAGGACTGCCAGGACAAAGAAACCCTGTCTCAAGCAAACAAAGAAACAAATAAATAAATAAGGCCAGTTATAAAATAGTGATCAAAAGTTGGGCAGTGGTGGCACACACCTTTAGTGCTGATACTCAGGAGGCAGAGCTAAGCAGATCTCTGTGAGTTTGAGGCCAGCTTGATCTTCAGAGCAAGTTCCAAGGCAGTTAATGGCTATATACAGAGAAACCCTACCTCAAAAAAAAAAAAAAAATCAAAATACTTAACTATCACATTTACTCACTAAAATTTAGCAAGAGAATATGAAATTTTGTCATAGTATTTCTAATAACTTAATGTTCAACATTAAAGGAATAGTTTTCTTTAAATGTTCATCAGGGTACGTGAGATAGCTCAATGGGTTAGGGTACTTGCCACCACACCTGACCACACGCACACGTGCGCACGCACCCCTACAGAGTAAATAAACAAATAGTTGTTAAGGGGACTGTAGAGCTGGAGCAACACTGGCCACTCTTCAACTTAGTTTCTCAGAACACACATGGTGGCTCACAACTGTAACTAGTTCTAGGAGATCTGATACCTTCTTCTGTCCTCCATAGGCACTGCACACACACAGTGCACAGCCATGCAATCAGGCAAACATTCACAAAATAATAAATAAGTATAATCTTAATTTTTTAAAAATTTTAGCTGTTCATTAATGAGATACAGCCACTAAAATGATTATATAAAAGTGTAAAGTGTTCACTATTCATTTTGATATTAAAAGGAGACTGTGTATGTATTATGGTATTAACAGTTAAAAGCAGATTATAAAACTGTATTGTTTCTGTGTATCTGGGATGGAGGGGCATATGTGTGCCAGTGTGGGCATGTGGAGGTCAGAGAACAACTTCCTGGAGTCAGTTTTCTCTTTGTGCTATGTGTCCTGGGGACTAAACTCAGGTTGCCATGCTTGCACACCAAATGCTTCTATCTACCCAGCCACCTCACCATCCCAAAAGATAGTTTTCACCGAGTTCATTTTTGTAAAATAACTTAAATCCATTTTGTTTTTAATGGGTTTAGGATGAAATAAATATATTATGGACAGATATTACCACCTAAGAAATTGACAATATAAACATTTTAGACTTAAATGGATTAAAAGTAGGCTATATAAGTTCTTTGACAATCTTTAATAATAAAATGCATTCTCACCTGGTGGTATGGACACACCCCTTTAATTCCAGCATTTGGGAGGCAGAGACAGGCGGATCTCTGAGTTAGAGGACAGCCTGGTCTACAGAATGAGTTCCAGGACAGCCAGGACTATATAGAGAAACTCTGTCTCAAAAATAAATTGTGTGTGTGTGTGTGTGCATGTGTGTGTGTGTGTTCTCACTTGTTTGTGATGGTTAGATAGACCTTAAGTTAGGAGGCATGAACTTGGTCTTATGTAGTAAGGCTGCCCACGGGATTTAATTTTGATATTCTTGGTTCCTTCTCTTCCTGAGGACGTCAGTACCATTCCCTGAGTATTATTAGAGGTGATAACTTTGGTGTAATTTATAATCATCAAGTGACTTTACAGAGCAGGATGAAAAAAGTCAATATTCTCCAAGCCCATATGGTACACAGACACAGATAGGCAAATGCTCATAAAATAAAAAATAAATAGAATATCAAATTTTTTAAATTTTAGCTGTTAATGAAATTGAGTTATTAAAATGATGATCTAAAATATAAAATGTCCACTGTTCATTTTGATATAAGAAGGAAACTGTATTATGGTATTAACTGTTAAAGGTAGTTTTTAAAATTGTCTTTCTTGTTTCTATGTATGTGTGATGGAGGGACATGTGTGTGCCGGTGTGGGCATATGGAGGTCAGAGGACAACTTTGTAAACATAATTTTCCAGGTATTTAATGATCCTATTCATGGCCATATTGAGTTCCACCCTCTCCTTATCCGAATCATTGACACACCTCAGTTTCAGCGGCTTCGATACATCAAACAGCTGGGAGGCGGCTACTATGTTTTCCCAGGAGCTTCACACAATCGCTTTGAACACAGTCTAGGGTAAGAAGGGAAAGGCCTGGGGAACATGCAGTTTTTACCCCTTCTCTCTCATGAAACAGTCTCGTTTGATCTCTTAGATAGTACTTCTTTCAAATGGTCATTGTAACATCTTTATTTTGTTGATGAGAAAATTGAGAGGACTTTGGAGTCCTCTTACATATTTTATGTATTTTTTGAAATGACCTCATATCCTCCTGAAACCTAATGTCTGTCGACAGGTCAATTGGATTAAATACTTGTCTGTAAATACTTAAATTGAATAGGTTGTCTGCTGGCATAACTAACTATAAATTTGATTAGTTGTCCTTTACTCCCTTTTTAGTCTTTTCATTTCATTTCTTCTAAGATGGGGGGGGGCTCCCGGCGGAATTCAGGCTGACCTCAAACTCAGTGTCCTCCCACCTCATCTCCAGAGAATGGAGTTTCTGGTCACACTCCATCATGCCTGGCTCCTGTTTAATTGTATAGATTCACTCTTTTAAACAAAATAATCGTGTCAGGAAATACATATAAGTTAGAGAAATGCTTATAAGCTCCGAGAGGGTCATCTCTGTTATATGTTTTTCCATTGTGCATGTAGAGCTGGGAGAAGTGGGCAGAGAATAATTGGGAATTAAGTATTTGGTTTTTTATATTTACTCTATGGTTTTCATTTGTTAACTAGGCTTTTTTTTTTTTTTTTTTTTTTTTTTTTTTTTTTTTTTTTTCCTTGCTTGCTTCCTTTTGTTTCCTTTAGGGTTTCATTATACAGCTTAGGCTGGCCTCAAACTCCTAATTCTTAGCCTCCCAAATGCCAGAGTTACAGGTGTGTGCCACTGTGTCCAGGTCCAGCAGTCAAAATAAATGTACTTATTCTAGAATTATAAACAATACATATTGAACACTTACTAAAACTTTCCAAGCCACAAACAAGTTGCTACCTTCCTCAAGCTGAGTTGAGGGCAGAGAAAAGGATATATTTTTTAGGACTTCCTTTCAGAGAGAAGTGCTGAAAGTGCATTTAGCACTTGATACGCCCATTTATTATTTTATTTTTGTTTTCTTTGCTGGGAATTAAGCCTGGGGTCTTTTTGTGTGCTAGTCAGGTGTTCTACAAAACCACATCCTCAGCCCTGCTAAGTATGTATCTCTAGTCTCTGTGGGAACATCACAGAACCAACTCTCAGAACTCAAACTCAAAGTTTCAAGTTCCAAAGGTACATCTTTCAAACCAAAGTGTGACTTTTGATCTTTTTCTCTGAAGGGTTGGGTACCTAGCAGGCTACCTCGTTCGAACACTTGCAGAAAAACAGCCAGAGCTAAAGATCAGTGAGCGAGATATGCTCTGTGTTCAGATTGCCGGACTCTGCCATGACCTTGGTAAGCTCACACAAAGCCATCACTTCGTGTAAGATTCTATTGTCTCACCTCTGTTTCACATTCAAAACTCAGTCTAACCAAGGAAGATGTGGAAGTATTTTAATTTTTCGTTAATCCCAGTGCACCATTGTTCCTAATATTATTGATAAGGACAAACGTTATTATTTGTGAATTTTCCTTACTAAGCATCTTTGCTATGTCACATGAAAGGCATTATTCATTATTTCTTTATTGTTTGTTTATTTACTTATGAGGCAAGAGTTCTTACTCTGTAACCCAACCTGTCCTAGAACTCACTGTATATAGCCCCGGCTAGCCTCAAACTCTAGACAATATTCCTGTTTCTGCCTCCTGAGTGCTGAGATTACAAGCATGCTGCTGCCCAGGGCTGAAAGGGATTTCTCCCAGTGAGTTTTTCTTACCCTGTCTTTAGGATAATGGGAACGTGACTTTTTGTTTATCATTCTCATTGACAAAAATTACTTTTCCCTTTAATTCCTTTGTTAAGTCCATCCCTTCTCACAACTAGAACAGGTTTAAGAAATGTTTTTTCTTCCCTGACTCACAGAAGGCCTTAGGCCAATTAAATCTAAGTATAAGACTATCATCCTCTTCATTAAAAAAAAGAAGGTGACTGCTCCAACCTCTTTAGTTATAGGAGAGAGTGTGCTTGTGTCTCCGTGGGCAGACACTGAAGGAGCAGAGTGCTGCAGCTTTTCAGTCAGCCCAGAGATTTCAGTAGCCTCAGTGCCTTCTTAGAAGGCAGTTGGTTCTTGTATGCGTTTTGGGTTTGGTTTTGGTGATTGGACTCAAACCTGTGTGTGCTCTCCTGCTGAGCTGCAAACCCAGCCCTAAATCAATAAATCTTTTTGTTTTTTTGCAAGAAATTCTCAGCATTCCTGATAGCTAATACAAAACTGAAGACTGAGCTAAGGAGGGTTAGCTTTCCACTATGCTTTTGCACCATATTCTGTTGTTTTGGAAAATTGAAAGGGCAGATTTGTGTGTGTGTGTGTGTGTGTGTGTGTGTGTGTGTATGGATTATTAACACGGGCTATTGATATTCAAAATAAACTGAAGACATTTTTTAAGAATTCAGTTTTTAGCTGGGTGGTGGTGGTACACGCCTTTAATCCCAGCACTCGGGAGGCAGAGTTAGACAGATCTCTGTGAGTTCGAGACTAGCCTGGTCTACAAGAGCTAGTTCCAGGACAACCTCCAAAGCCATAGAGAAACCCAGTCTCAAAAAAACAAACAAAAAAAAATTCAGTTTTTAACCAATGTAAAATATTTTTCTTATTTAAAAGCTGCTTTTGTTTTTAGGTCATGGGCCATTTTCTCATATGTTTGATGGAAGATTTATCCCATCTGCTCGCCGAGGTGAAACGTGGAAGGTATGTATTCATCTATTCTATAGTCGATAGAAAGAAATAGAATTGTATCTATTTATCCAATTGAATTGTCTGTTTTTCTAGCATCCTTCCCTGAAACAGTGCTCAGGGTGCTTCCATCCACATAAGTCTGTTTCATTCGAACCTCACAGTAGTCTGTGGAGAAAGGACCCTTACCTCCCCGTTCACTCTCCAAAGCTGTGGATTGATGGGCCAGGCCTAGAAAATCAGCTTCCCCAGCTGTCCGTGCAGCGTTCTTTCTACTCTGGGAATACTGTACAGTTTGTTTTTAAAGTCCAACTTCAGTGTCTAGCCATGAAGTTAAGTATCACCATTTTTAGTAAATGGACTTGTGTTTTTAATACAGAGTTTTCCTGTGTAGTTGAGAGTGACTGTAACAGGAAAAATAAATGACCCAGAGACAGATATTGGGGTTCAAACTTTAAGATGAAGATCAACAAAGCAAAGTAGTGGTCCACTAGCTCTTACCACTACCTCGGGCTGAACAGGCTGATCCTGCTGCCTCTCCTTAGTGTGGCTGAAGAATCCTGAGACTAAATGTCTTCCTGACCTCATTGTGTCTGGAGAATGAATGCCTCTATCTGCAATGTGGCTAGAGAATGAATGCCTGATACTGAGTCCTTCCTCCTATCTTATATACCTCCCTAATGCTGGGATTATAGGCATGAGCTCTGTTACTCTTTTAGACTGATTTAATCTCGAGTATCCCTGGGTGGTCTTGAATTCAGAGACATCTGTTTACCTCTTAATTCTGAGTCCTACAATTAAAGGTGTGTACTACCTCCTCCTAGCTTCTGGCTGCTGGAATTAAAGGTGTGTGCCTGGCTTCTATGGCTTATGGCTGACTTAGATTTCTGAATCTTGAGACAAACTTTAATAAATCATAAATAATATATTACTACAATTCCCCTTTTTTGTCTAATACAAGAAGAAAGCTATAGCTAACATAAGAAAAACTATATATAGTAAATACAGTATGTATATGCAGTATATACAGGCAACAATTTCATCAACAGTGTCTAGTCCTTTTGCATTTGACAAATTCAGAGAAAATATTTTGTCCATTTGTATTTTACAAAGTCAGAGAAAATACTTCATAATCTATCCTATCTTGGTGAGTCCAAAGTCTTCTACCTAATTTACTTCCCATTCTAATTTGCATTATCAAATTATCTTTTAATGTCTCTCAACCTTTTACACTTTATACATCTTTAGTAAGTTTCTTTTCTGAGTCTGGTAAATGATGAAAACTATAACTATACTATCTAGTCTTCAACTCCCTCAGAGACCCAAGAAGGAAATATTAACTGAGTAAGCAGCAAGTGCAAGCAAGCCACTTCCAAAAATTATGAGAAATGGAAAAAGCGGCTGGCTGCCTGGACAGTTATCCAAGGTTCCGCTGCAACGTTGAGGAATCCATCTTTGGCTTACAGGCCTAGCATTTCTGACAGACTTTTCTGTGAAGTACAGTTTTGAAGGACTGTCCCACCTTAACTTAGCAAGGTTTTGCAGTCACTCTCTTTTGTGTCCTGTTTGTTCACTTTAGACAGCATACTGTCAGCAGTTGAGACAAAGGCACACCAAAAGGTGTGTGCCTGGCCCTACCTGCTCCCCCTGGATGGTGAGGCCTTCCATAGGGTGTCATCAGAGTCTATTGTATCCTTTGGGATAGGGCCTAGGCCCACCCCCGTGTGTCTTGGCTCAGAGAGTATTCCTCTATATGGAATGGGCTCCCAAAGTCCACACCTATGCTAGGGATAAGTACTGAACTATTACAGGAGGTCCCGTAGATTTCCAAGGTTAAGCTTTAATAAATTATAAATGTCACTACAAATGACTTCGAACACTGTCCTGCAAATTACTCATTTGCCAGTAATGAAGCTGTGCATTTTGAATCAGTTTTTGAGAAATGAAGTTGACCTTCCAGTTTCTTCCACACTGTATTTCTAGCAACTGGAGAAGAAAAGCACACTAATGTAAGCTGAAAGCTTCTTATATGTCAAACCATGTTTTCTCTGCCTGCCCCTCCCTTTTTTGATTGCATAATGCTTTATTAACTTTGAATTTTCTGAATGCTAATGAGAAAAGAATAACAGCTGTAGAGAGACATTGGCTAATAGAAAAACTATGGAATTAAATCAGCCCGTATTCTTTAAAGATGAGCTGACCTCAGAATGGAAACCAGGACATGTGTTACATTGGGGAAAGGGTTTTACTTTTGTTTCCACAGAAGAAAAGCTACAGATACCATAAAATTGATAAAGGTTAGATTTGAACAAGAGACACCCCTTGACTGGAAGAGATAATAGTTAACCAAACAACATGTACCTGCCCTTTTTGTAAAATATAATTTACATCCAATAAATTATGCAGATTTTTGTTGTTTTGTTTTCATTTTGAGACAGGGTCTCATTATGTGGAGCAAGCTGGCCTTGAAACTGGGAGATTGCCTGCTTCTATTTCCCTAGATCTAGGATTAAAGTCATGTACTATCACTCCTGACTTAAACTGTACAAAGCCAACGTGAGTTTGACAATTGTACACATGAAGTCAGAATGTAGAACATTTCATGTTTTGGAAAATTCCCTGATGCCTTGCCTTTTTTTCTGTGGTACTGAGGATCAACCCGCAGCACTGCACACACTAAGTTTGTACCACTGCCACAGCCCGGCCCCTCCTTCAAGTCTTTTAAAATCAGTTCTTCCCCCATCACTTGTGATTTTCATGAACACAGATTAGTCTGTCTTTTCTTAGACTTGGTATCTCAGTTTCATTTGTATTCTCTAATCTGATTTCCTGTTGTTTGCGCCATGTGGTTTTGTATCCTGTGTGTGTCTGTGTGTAGACTTCCTCTTAATGTTTTACCCATTTGAGCAGTTGATGGTGGGCTAGGAGGCTGCTTAGTGGGAGATCACTTGCCAAGTAGCTGAGTCTTTAGGTTTGATCCCAGTGCTATCAGTACAATCACAAGTGAACACTTCTTCATCCTTGAGTGTTGGATGTAGCTGATGGCTTTTTACTGCTAAGGCTGTACCTAGTGTATGAACCATACTTTGTCCTTTCTCCTTTTGATGAGCTTGAGGTTGTTTTGGATTTGGACCACTACATCTAAGGTTGCTATGTGTATTGTTCTACAACAGTTTTGTGGAAATATGCTCTCATGTCTCCTAAATGAATACCTTACAGTAAAATTATGACATTATATGGCTGGTGTTCATTTAAAATTATAAAAACCTACAGGTTTTCCAGTGTGTTTGTTCAATTTTACACTCTCACCAGCAGTGTGTGAAATTTCCGATGCCAGTCTACAACCTCACCATATCATCTGTAATTAAATAAATTAACTTTCATTTTTTATCTGTGTATACTGCTGAAGATAGACCAGAGCCTTTTCCATGCTGAGCAGACAACCTGTCATCATGTTACACCCCAGTCCCAACACTTGACCTTTCAGATTGTCTCACCTGATTGTGAAATGGTGTCTCAGTTTCATTAGCATTCTATAACCTGTCACAAGTATGATTTCCTGTTTTTGCACTTTGTGGTTTTGGTGTGTGTGTGTGTGTGTGTGTGTGTGTGTGTGTGTGTGTGTGTGTGTTTGAGCATGAGTGCATGCCTGTGCATATGTGTGAAGAGTTCCTCTAATGCAGTGGTTTTTTATAGTGGCATCTTGTTCTGCTAGTGGACTTGGGGTGGTGGCCACACCTGAAGCCATGCCCCAAGGTGTGGTCACCCCAAGTCTACTGACAGACAAGATGACACTACAGTTCCCAATCTTCCTAATGCTGCATCCCTTTAATACAGTTCCTCGGGTTGTGATGGCCCCCAACCATAAAATTATAACTGTAATTTTACTACTGTTAGGAATCATAATGCAAATATCTATGTTTTCCAATGGTCTTAGGGGACCCCCATGAAAGGGTCCTTTGACCCCCAAAAGGTCATGACTCACAGGTTAAGAACCACTGTTGTAAAGTTTGGTTTCTTGGTTTTTTTGAGACAGGGTTTCTCTGTATTGCTTTGGAGCCTGTCCTGGAACTCACTCAGGAGACCAGGCTGGCCTCAAACCCACAGAGATCTACCTGCCTCTGCCTCCCGAGTGCTGGGATTAAAGGTGTGCTCCACCAATACCAGGCCTACTGTTCTAATGTTTCACTCATTTAAAAAGTTGATTAGTGGACTAGGAACTGCTTAGTGGGAGATCACTTGCCAAGTAGCTGAGTCTTTAGGTTTGATCCCAACTCTCCAATAAGGTAAGGCAGGGAGTCGGATTTTGACCCTGGGAGATAGCTCAGTTTGTAAGGTGCTGCACACCTGAGTTTGATCCCCAATGCCTTTGTTTAAAAAAGTGGGTGGGGGGGCAAGTGTGGAGTGTGTGTAATCCTGATGGTAGGGAGGAAGAGCCAGGCAGCTTCCTGGGACTTGCTGCCCAGTCAGCCTGGCCTGCTTGGAGAGTTCGAGACCAATAGGAGACCCTATACCAAAAACTTGAAGTGGACAGCACCTGAGGAATGATAGCTGAGGTTGTCATCTTGTCTCCACAGGCACACACATACAAAAGAACTTTTATTGTTTGCCCACTTAGTATTTATTTGTAAGAATTTATATATACAGATATTGTTTATATGTATTAGCAATATTTTCTGTTAGTGTTTGATTTGCCACTTCTGTTTTTACTGGTGTCTTTTGAGAAAGACATTTTCTAGTCTCCTTTAAGTCAGTAAAATGCATAGTTTCCCATCAGTTTTAGTGCTGTGGGGCCTGCTCTCTGAATGCCATAAAATTGGAAGTTAGTACTCTGCCCTCGCATCCTACTGTTGACTTTCTTTTAACATCTGCTTGCTCTTGGCTAGTGTCCAATACAATCAGGAAGTAAGTTAGTTGTCCAGAGTGTAGTTTTTGTTGTTGTTGTTGTTGTTGTTGTTTTTATCTCCAGCAGGATTGATCTAATAGGACCTAGGTGTGTGTGTGTGTGTGTGTGTGTGTGTGTGTGTGTGTGTGTGGGTCTGTGTGTGGGTCTGTGTGTGGGTCTGTGTGTGGGTCTGTGTCTGTGTGCTTAGTGTATGTGTGTGTGCTGTATGTGAGTGTGTGGGGATTGTATGTGTATGCTATGTGTGTGTTTCTATGTGTGTTGAGTGTGTGCTGTGTGTGTCTCTATAGGTGCTGTTTATGTGTGCACTCTGCATGTGTATGGTGTATGTGCTCTCTGTGTGTACTGTGTGTGTGTGCACTTACACATACTAGGTAAATACTATACCACTAAGCTATATCCCAGGCCTTTAAAAAATATATTTGCCTTTTTCATTTAATACTTTAGCTCATATGGAATTAATTCTTATATACAAATAATACAAATATAATATCTTTCCCTTATTTGTAGAGATGCTTGTTTTATTTCTCTGCAGTTTTGGGAGTTGAACTAAGATTGTCAAGCATGCTAAGCAAGCATTCTACCCCTAAATGATAGCATCAGCCTAGTGGATAACTGTTTATTGAATAACAGTTAACCCTTTTCTCACAGATCTAGATTACCAACATTTTAAAAATTCCCATATATGATGAATCTGCCTAGATCCTATTTCACAGGTTTTAAAAAATTATTTATTTTTATTTTGTACGTGTTTGTTGCCTGTAGCATATATATGTGCATCCCATGCATTCCTGGTACCCACTGAGGTGAGAAGAGGGCACTGGATTCCTTGGAGCTGGAGTTAATAGATGGTTGTGAGCCACTATGTTGGTGCTGAGAACCAAACCCAGGTCCTCTGCTTGGACAGCATGTTTTCTTAACCACTGAGCCATTTCTCTAGCCCCATGTTTCACATTTTCTTAATTATTAACTATTCTATTAAAGTCTTTTGTACTTAGGATAGTGGTTGTTTATGTGAATTCGTGCAGTGTGAAACAGCATTCTACTGTAATTACTCCACAGGCCACAAGAACACAATGAATGGCAAGTTCCAGGCCAGTCTAGGCTATATAGTGAATTCATGTCAACGTGGGTTATATAATGAGACCTTTACTCAAAACAAACAATGAATAATCAAGATAGCAAAGTTACCATTTATTCTGTTTGTAATTAGTATATCTTGAGTCCATTCATAACGATTCTAGGATCATTTCAGGTTTGTTTTCATTTTGAATCGGTTTCAATAAGATGTGCTTTCTATAGGGCTGATGTCTCTGGGGGTCATATGCTCTTTATAGTGATAGTGAAAGAGTGAGCAGAGACATGACAACCAGATTTGAGAATTTAATTCAGATCTTAACACCAGAGCTGGAAGTCACTTGATTTTACTGGCAATGTTGCCAGTATCCTTGTCCACCACAAGGTGGAAATACCAACCAACAGCTTTTAACTTCAAATGTTCTTCTGAGAATGGAAAAAAAAAACCCACCTAGATTTTAGAGTGATATTCATTCTACCTATATGATTTGGTAATATTCTTTTTGGTAATATAAATGGTTATATTTCATAAAATATTTTTATTATATTTATTTATGAAATAATAAACATGGTTTATGAAAATTTTGTAGACTAGGAGAAGGGGATAAATAACATGAAGTATATATGAAAATGCTGCTGTGAAACTCATCCCTTTGTATGCTCATTTTAAAAACTAATAAAAGAAAAAAGGAAAAAATAAACTAATAAGTTATTTTGTGTGGCCAGGCAGTGGTGGTGCACACCTTTAATACCAGCATGCGGGAGGCAGAGGCAGGCAGATCTCTGTAAGTTTGAGACCAGCCTGGTCTACAAGAGCTTGTTTCCAGGACAGCCTCCAAAGCAACAGAGAAACCCTGTCTCGAAAAATCAAAAAAAAAAAAAAAAAAGTTTTCTTGTGACTGGGCATGGTGGGGCATGCCTTTAATCCCAGCACTCAGGAAGCAGAGACAGGAGGATCTCTATGAGTGTAAGGCCAGCCTGGTCTCCATAGCAAGTTCCTGGCCAACCAGAGCTATATAATAAGACTCTGTCTCAAAAACAAACCAACCAACCAACTGAAAATGTTTTGTAGACAAATGAGATGTTAACAAAAATTGACTAATTTAAAAGCTGTAACATTGTAGTTGGGAACTTGGTAATTAACACTCAGTGGGACTTCATCTGAGAATTACCTAGAATCCATAATAATCTGTTCAATTAGGGAATCTGTAACAGGCTGTGTTATATTGACTTTTCACAGCATGAACAGGGATCAGCTAAGATGTTTGAACATCTGGTTAATTCTAATGAACTCGGACCTATCATGAAAAACTATGGGCTCAACCCTGAAGAAGATATTGTCTTCATTAAGGAACAAATTGAGGGACCAACTTCAACTCCAATCAAGGACTGCTCAGTAAGTTTTTAATTCATGTTATATTAGAGCCAGCTGGGACTTTCCATCTAGTCTATTCTTGATTCTTTCAGAGCTACATATTTGGCTATTATAGGGGTACTAAACATCAAAATATAACATATACATCTGCTTTCTAATGCAAAAACAAAAAAGTATGTATTTTTCCCCATCTTGAGTTCTTTAGACATTATTTCCCCCAAATAATAGTTTATGTCTGTAACATCAGTACAACAGAAGCAAGAAGATCAAATGTAAAAGTATACGTGCTGGGCTGGAGAGATGTCTCAGTAAGAGTACTTGCTATCATCAAGTATGAGGATATGAGTTCAGATCCCTAGCACCCATGTAAAAACCCAAGCTGAGTAACACACACCTTTAATTCCAGCACTTAAGGGGTAGAGGCCAACCTGCTCTCCATAGAGTTCAGGCCAGCCAGCCCTTTATAGTGGGACCCTTTCTCAAATAAACAAAACAGCACAACTGTAGGTAGACTTTTCTTTCCTGACAGCCAGATCCCAGTTCACAACATGGAGACTTATTATTGATTAAAAATGCTTGGTCAATAGCTTATGATGGTTACTAACTAGCTCTTTTTTTTTAAGATTTATTTATTTATCATGTGTACAGTGTTCTGCCTACATGTATGCCTGCAGGCCAGAAGAGAGCACCAGATCTCATTATAGATAGTTGTGAGCCACCATGCGGTTGCTGGGAATTGAACTCCAAACATCTGGAAGAGCAGCCAGTGCTCTGAACCTCTGAACCAGCTCTCCAGCCCTACTAAGTAGCTCTTACAACTTAAATTAACCCATATTTCTTATCTATGCCACGTGGTGGTACCTTCTTTCAGCATGGCAAGTTCATTCTATTTCTCTTATGATCCTTAGACTCCGCCCTTCTTCCCAGCATCCTCCTAATCTGGCTCTCCTGCCCAGTCTCTTCCTGTCCAGCTATAGGCCAATCACCTCTTTATTTAGCAATGAGAGTAATGCATATTTATAGTGTACAACAACAATAATAAAAAAAAAAAAAAAAAAAGCTCCTGGCAGTGGTGGGGCACGCCTTTAATCCCAGCACTTGGGAGGCAGAGGCAGGTGGATCTTCAGTAAGTTCGAGACCAACCTGGAGTACAAAGCAAGTTCCAGGACAGCCAAGACTGTTACACAGAACCCTCTCTAAAACAAACAAACAAGCATGGCCAGACACAGACTTGTAATTTCAGCACTGAGAGGCAGAAGATGACATTCAACATTGACCTCTGGTTACTATGTGTATGTGTACACACACATGTACACACAAACACATGCATATGCATACACACCCACAAACACGAGGTAGGTTGAGGAGCAACTATCTCATTTCTAAACAAAAATTTAGCTTCAAAAATACTTTTGTAGTTTTGGTTTGTATTTAGAGTAGCTGTGTAGTACTATTTTAAAGCATAGTAATATGTAACACAGGTATGGTGGTACATGGTTGTTGAAGTCTGTTCCTAGAGAGGTGGAAACAGGAGTAACAGAGGTTAAGTTGTCCTCTCCCAAAGAGTGAATTCAAGATGGGTCTAGGTTACCTGAGATTCTGTCAAAAAAAAAAAAAAGGAAAAAAAGCTGGATGTGGTGGTACATGCCCTTAATCCTAGCACTTGGGGGCAAAGGCAGGCAGATCTCTGAGTTTGAGGCCAGTGTGTTCTACATAGTGAGTTTTCCAGGATAGCCAGGGCTACACAAAGAAACCATGTCTCAAAAAACAACAACAAAAAGGAGAGAAATATAGTAGCATGTACATGCATACATATATGTACACAGAGGGAGAGTTTGTTTTTGTTTTCCCCTAGTGAGGGGAGTCTTGCTCTGTAGCCCATGCTGATTTTGGAGTCACAGTCCTCCTGCCTCAGCCTCCCAAGTGCTGAGGTTACAGGTATGTTACCATACCCAGTGAGAGACATTATTATTTTAATACGTGGATTCAAGCTTTACCATTTAAGGAACATTTTTTACTAGTTTGTAATTAAATCTTGTAATTTTTAGAAGCTTTTAAAAATCAAGAAAATTAAAATATTGTTGGTTTTAGGAAATTTATTAGTAGTATCCTTTCAGTGGCACTGGAAGGTTTAATGTTTTGCCACTTATATACTTGTAAAATTTTTAAGTTACATTTTTATTCATTTATTTTACACACACACACACACACACACACACACACACACACACACCTGCCTGTGGACCACCATGTACGTGTGGAAGTCACAAGACAGCTTGCAGGAAGCAGTTCTCTCCTTCCACCATGTGGGTCCTGGGATAGGACTCAGGTGGTCTGGTGGCAGCAAAAGCCTTTACTCGCTAAGTCATCCCACCAGCCCTTTATAGACTTGTTTTTTATTCATTTATTTTTGTGGTGCTGGCCCGGGCCCTTGTACGTACATGGGCTGTATCCCAGAACATCACCAGCTGGAAAACTTGGTATTAATAGGATGCCATATACTTCAGCATTTCTTCTTCTTCTTCTTCTTCTTCTTCTTCTTCTTCTTCTTCTTCTTCTTCTTCTTCTTCTTCTTCTTCTTCTTCTGCAGGCTTTCTCTGTGGCTTTGGAAGCTGTCCTGGAACTAGCTCTTTTAGACCCGGCTGGTCTCGAACTCACAGTGATCTGCCTGCCTCTGCCTCCCGAGTGCTGGGATTAAAGGCGTGCACCCCCACCACGGCTACTTCAGCATTTCTTTTTCCTTCCTACTTTAGAAGTGAGAAGGAGAAAGAAAGATCAGCATTCTAACTCAGTGTATTGTTTGTAATTTGCAGATCGATACGGCTTGTTTTGCTTATAAATAGGTCTGTGTCTATCTAAAACCTCCATGAGATTCTCTTGTTTTCCAGTGGCCATATAAAGGACGCCCTGCCGAGAAGAGCTTCCTTTATGAGATAGTGTCTAACAAAAGAAATGGCATTGATGTGGACAAATGGGATTATTTTGCCAGGTATGCACTGAATGTTTTCGGAAACATTGCTAAAATCTTTGTACAAATGTAGCATTAGGACCCACCTGGCTAATCAGAAGTTGGCACTACAGTCCCATGGTGGCTGAAACACTAGCTTTGTGGCCACCATGGAAAAGGTGAAACAGCCTTCCCTTCTCCCTGAGTGTACTGGGTTCCTTCCTGCCCCCTCATCCTGCATCACAACCACTTACTGTCCTGGGTTTCCTGTTGGGCTCTGGTTAGCTCTCAAGCTGAGTCATGGTAGATGAGAGTCTCATTTTGAAGTGGGAAAAAATTCCCATTTTCTGGTGATGGCTCTCCAGTTTTTTATTCTGTGTCAGCTCCCCTCATGTTCTTCCCACTGACTCACTTAGCTAGTTCTACCTCTTTGTGTCCTTCAGTCTAGTCTTCAGTCCCCGGCCAGCCTTCTGCAAACTGCTACAGCCAAAGCCTGGTTCAGAATTAAAAAGAAAGAAAAGAAATGTAGTGCTTGTATTTTAAGGCACAGTTTCCTTGTTGAAATGTGTCGTATCTCTGCTTTGGAACTTCTAGGGACTGTCACCATCTTGGAATCCAAAACAATTTTGATTACAAGCGCTATGTTAAGTTTGTCCGTGTCTGTGAGGTGGAAGAATCTTGTGGCTGCAAGATGAAGCACATTTGTACCAGAGAAAAGGTAAGTTACATCCTCAGAAATAAGAGTGCAGCTCCTGGTCTGACGTCTAGAAATAATCATTCAGCCATTTGGAAAGATCCAGAAACCATCTTTCTTTTCTTTCATTTCCTCCCTCCTTTCTCTTCTCTCTTTTGATTTTTTTTTTAGATTGTTTGTGTGTGTGGGGGGGGGCTATGTGTTTGCGCTTGCTGTACACACCTGTGTGAATGCAGAGGCTGCCCTCCTCTGTCACTGTCTGCTTTATCCCTTTACGTCACTCCCTACACCTTGTGCTCATGTTTTTTATTAGCCATTCTCCTGTTACTGTCTTCCCCAGCACTGGGATACAGCACAAATAATAAAAACCCGGAAAGATGTTGGGTTTCAAGCTGAAGATCAAAAAAGTAAAGCACTAGAGAGTTCTAACCTCTACCAAGGCTGGGGCGATCCTGTCCTCAGTACGACTACAGACTGAATACACTGAACTGTCTCCTGCCTTATACTCCTCTCTTGTGCTGGGATTAAAGGCATGCACCACCATCTCCCAGCTTCTATGGCTAACTAGTGTGACTGCTGGGATTAAAGGTGTGTACCACCACTGCCCGGCCTATATGGCTGACTAGTGTGGCTATCTCTGCACGCTGATCTTCACGTAAGCTTTATTTGTTAGATCATAAACAAAATATCACCACAGGTGCACAAAAGACCACACCAGCTTATTATGTAGATGCTGGGATCCAAACTCAGGTTCTCATGGTTGTGCAGCAAGCATTCTTTTAACTGGTAACTTCTCTATAGCCCCACAAACTCGTCGTTTAAGAAAGATTTATTATTATTTTAATCATGTGTATATGTGTCTGTGTGTGGGTATGTGCACATGGGTGCAGGTTTCCCCAGATGCCAGAAGAAAGTATCATATCCCTGGAGCTAGAATTACAGGTGGCTTGGTGTACGCAACATGGGTGCTAGGAGCCAGACTCAGGCCCTCTGCAAGAGTAGCACAGACTCTTAACTGCTAAGCCGTCTCTCTAATCCTTCAAACCCTTCTTAATGCTTATTATTTGTTAAGTGCCGTGAGACTTTTTTTTCACTCTATTACATTGTTAAATAATAACAACAATAATAAAATTAAACGCAACCTTTTTTGAGTCTTATACTGGGTAGGCTTTAAGTGCTTTTTGTAGATCAACTCAATCTTTATCACCCTATGGTATAGTACTATTAATATTTCAGTCCGTGTTCTGTTGCTATAACAGAATACCTGAGCCTGTGTAATTCATAATGGAAAGAGGTTTATCCAGTTTGTAGTTGTAGAGGAACATGGTAATAGCATCTGTTCTGCTTCTGGTATGGATGACACACTGCCCTGTGCATGGTGAAAGCCAGAAGTGCAAACAAGGAAGGTGCTAAAGAGAGGGAGGGGCAGTGCCAGGCTGGCTTTCTATCAGCCTGTTCTTCCCACAAACTAATCTGGTCATCTCATGGGATCGGAGCCCTGATAACTTAATCACCTCTTGAAGGTCCTCCCTCTCTCACCACCTTTACTTTGGAGACTGAACTTTGATGTGATTTTTGGTGGGGCAAGCCATACTTTACTGTTAACTAGTGAGCAAAGTGAGGTGTGTAGAAGAGACGAGCTAAATAAGTAAGAAAACTGGAATTTCAACCCCTTTAGGTCCTTATTAGATGATGCCTTAGGGTTTCTGTTGCTGTGAAGAGACTCCATGACCACGGCAACTCTTATAAAGCAAAGTACTTAATTGTGGTGGCTCATTTATATTTCGGAGGTTCAGTCCATTATCATCATGGTGGGACATGTTGGTGTGCAGGCAGACCTGGTGCTGAGACTCCTACGTCTCGTAGGCAACAAGAAGTGGTCTGCAACATTGGGTATGGCTTGAGCATATACGAGTTCTCAAAGCCCAACCCCCACAGTGACACACTTCCTCCAACAAGGCCACACCTGCTAAGAGTGCCACTCCCTTTGGGGGCCGTTTTCTTTCCACCACAATGATACTCATATAACTTAAAAAGTAGTATAGAATTCTGCCATAGGAAAGTCTTTTTATGTTGGCCCTTTAATCCCAGCATTCAGGAGGCAGAGGCAGATGGATATCTGAGTCCAAGACCAGCCTGGTCTACATAATGATTTCCAGGACAGCCAGGGCTACATAGTGAGACCCTGCCTCTAATAAAGTTTAACATACTCTGATCCTTGCATTACCGTTTCTGTTCCCTTGCAGGAGGTTGGGAATCTGTATGACATGTTCCACACACGCAACTGCTTACACCGCAGAGCTTACCAACATAAAATCAGCAACCTCATCGATATAATGTAAGAACGTCAGTGTTACCTCTTTATAAAAGTTTGCATGATGCTTTGCCCTGTTAGCGTTCTCAGCTCAAGCTGTGCAGTCTAAAACGACTCCCTTAAAAGAAGGCTAGCATACAGTAAACTTAGGAGGAGGGAGAGGAGGAAAATGGATTCGATGATCAGGTAGATGGAGAAAGAGGAGCTGGCTTACGCTAGACATGAAGAGGTTGCCAGAATGGCTCAGGATCCCCGTGCAGGAAGTTACATACAGCTGTTATTCATGGAGGCAGTGAAACATTAGTAGCTGACATTGTAAATTAAAAACAAAATTAATATTTATACTAATTTCTGCCTTTATCCTGTCAAATGTTTTTCACAGTTAGTAGCAAATAGGAATTTCATCTTTTTCCATGATCTGGTCAGAGCTATAGCCAAAAAGTACACAAAGTCTCCACATGAGAAGTTTCCTTTCTTTGTTGTTGAGACAAGATCTCATACTTATAGCCCTGATAAGTCTGGAACTCATTATATAGCCCAAATTAACCTCAAATTCATGATTCTCTGGCTTCTGCCTCCAAGGTGCTGGGATCCCAGTCATAAACCACCACATTTGGTTCCATAAGAGTCGTAACCTCAGTCAGAAATTAGGTGTAGCCAGGTATGGTGGCACCCCTTTAATCCCGGACTAGGAAGGCAGAGGCAGGTGCATCTCTGTGAGTTCAAGACCAGCCTGGTACATAGTGAGTACATAGGACAGCTAGGGCTGTAGTCACAAAAAGCAAAAAAACAAACAAAAATAGATATAAAGCTTAATATGATAGCAGATGTCTTCAATGGCACTTGGAAGGCGAGACAGAGTTCAAGGTCATTCTCAGGTATGTAGCATCTTTGAAGCTAGCCTGAGCTACATGAGACCGGTCTCAAGAAAAAAAGAACTAAAGTAATTTTGTTTCCAGTTCAGAGTCAGAGAGCCTTTGTTTCAAAGCTTCTTCTGAACTTGTTTAAAGGAAAATTATCTTATTTCTGCTTCTATAAAATTGGAGCTGAATATACTTAGTATTGAAAAACTAAATGAGATAAGGTCTGTAAAGCTCTACCTTCGTGTCATTACAAAGATATTAATGGACAGCTGTCTTTGAACATCATACCTCAAGATTTTGTTTTCTTAAACTGGAAACGTCCTTTTGAGCAAGGTGTAAAGCGAATCTTCGAATGACCTTGTGTGTTTATAAAATGATCTTTAGGATCACAGAGGCCTTCTGCAAAGCAGACCCCTACATGGAGATTCTGGGGGCCAAGGGGAAGAAGTTCAGTATTTCTACAGCCATTGATGACATGGAAGCCTTCACCAAGCTGACGGGTAAGAACTCGGGCACACACATGTCCGTATCAGATGTCAGCTGCTCTTGTGGGGATAGAGAAGATTATGAGAAGCAAGTGCATGCAAGTGTGAAATTGCGAGACAATAATTCTTAAGGTAGGTGTAGTGTGTCGGAAATGCTTAAATGAGGCACAGTACCTCTTGTATACTTATTGTTAGTTAATACAACTCAGTTAATACCAAAATCCTCCCCCCTAAAAAAAAAACCAACCAAGCCTTGTCATCACTGACCCCAGTGGCTGAAAGATTGTTGGTTAGCATACAGTTTCAAACCCATCACACTGTCCTAGTAGACAGGAGTTGGGGGTAAGGCCTGGGTCCAGTCCCAAAGAGTTTACAATAGAGAAATCTTAATCATCCGATCAGATTTAACAGTAGTTGTCATGGCTCCCTGATCTGTTCTAAAGGTCAACATCCTGGAAGATGGGAGGGGTTATTCTAGTTCTAGATTTTATTTGTTTTTGTTTTTGTGAGACAGGGTTTCTCTGTGTAGCTTTTGGAGGCTGTACTGGAACTAGCTCTGTAGACTAGGCTGGCCTCAAACTCACAGAGATCTGCCTGCCTCTGCCTCGAAAGTGCTGGGATTAAAGGCATGCGCCACCACCGCCTGGCTAGTTCTAGATTTTAAAAGACTAAAAGTGTGTGACCATTAATTTTATCCATATATTTGCTGGATTTCCCTATTGCCAGTAATGAAAATCCTTAAGTTACATTATGAAGACAAGTAAAAAAATAAAAAATCTCTCTTAAATTTCTGATGTGTTTATGTTTTAAAAGGTGTTCTTGTTCTTGGTAGGTAGATACTGTGATATCATAATGTTTCATCAGAAAATTATATATACACAGCCAGATGCAGGGGCTCACATTCAGGAGGATGAATGGTAAGACCAACCTGAGTTATATAGTGAGCTCAAACCACCCTCAGAGTAAAATCTTCTCTCAAAAAAAGGAAAGCAAGGCTTTCTGCATCTATATCGCTCCCACCAACATGGTGAACGTTCCTAAGACCAGCCGGACGTTCTGCAAGAAATGTGGCAAGCACCAGTCCCATAAAGTGACATAGCACAAGAGGACCAAGGACTCTCTGTATGCCCAGGGAAAGCGCCGTTATGACAGGAAACAGAGTGGCTATGGTGGGCAGACTAAGCCTATTTTCCGAAAAAAGGCTAAAACTACAAAGAAGATTGTGCTGAGGCTTGAGTGTGTTGAACCCAACTGCAGATCTAAGGGGATGCTGGCTATTAAGAGAGGCAAGCATTTTGAACTGGGAGGCGATAAGAAGAGAACGGGCCAAGTGATCCAGTTCTAGGCTGCTCTTGTTATGAAGACAATAAAATCACAGTAAAAGAAAAAAAAAAAAAGAAAAAAAAAGGAAAGCAAGGGCTGGATAGATGGCTCATCAGTTAAGAGCACTGATTGCTCTTCCAGAGGACCTAGGTTCAGCACCCACATGGCAGCTCACAACTGTCTGTAACTCCAGTTCTAAGGGACCTGACACTCCACACAGACATACATCCAGGCAAAACACCAATGCACAGGGGCTGGAGAGATGGCTCAGAGGTTAAGAGCACTGACTGTTCTTCCAGAGGTCCAGAGTTCAATTCCCAGCAACCACATAGTGTCTCACAACCACCCTGAGTGAGATCTGGTGCCCTCTGCTGGCATGCAGGCAGAAGACTGTATACATAATAAATAAATAAATATACCAATGCACATGAAATAAAATAAATAAATTACTAAGAAAAGAAAGTTAAGAAAATTGTATGCAAATAGAGTTCTTTTATGGAAAAAATGATAATAATGAATTTGGTTGAAGGCTATTTTAATTGAAAAATTTTTAAAGAAAATTGAAAAAAGACAAATGCAGAAAGTTTTTCCCTTCTGTTATCATCATAGAATAAAATATTTTAAAACTTAAAACTTTTAATAAGTCAGTTCACAAAATTCCATGTACTCACCACTTAGCTTCAACCATTATAAACACACAGCGATTTTTTTCCACCTACCTCCTGCTGACAAGCATTGGGCTATTTTAAGTAGATCATAGACATAATTTTGTTTGTAAATGTTTAAGGCCATTTAGGGCTAATTAGCAAAACCTTGTCTCATTTACAAAAACAAAAACCCAACAATACTAAGTAACTATGTACTGCTGCCCCAGGTCAAGCTATCGGTTCTAGTGCACTCTTAGTTCATCTCACACAGGGGAGGGTTTCCCACTTCTGCACTTGCTTTCTTTTCCTCTTATTGGCATCTTTGTTTTTTATTCACACAATGATAATGCTGTGCCTGGTTAAGACTATTTCAGGACCACAGTGGAGTGTCTTTAAATCCTACTGCCGTTTTAATGTGAGTGAATTTCATCATATTGACAGATAACATTTTCCTGGAAATTTTATACTCTACTGATCCAAATTTGTCTGAGGCAAGAAATATTTTAAGGAACATCGAATGCCGTAATCTATACAAGTATTTGGGTGAGACCCAGCCAAACGGTCAAGACAAGATTACAGGGGTAAGTTGAGTCATCGGCTATCCTGCTATTAGCAGAGGGTTATCCCAGTCTCTGTCCTCAATAAGAAGCCATTAGTCTATCACAGTAACCATGCTTCCTGGGTATTCTTGTTTAATCTTCACAGTATTCTTGGGCCTGTTTACCAGACGAGAAACTGCAGCTGGATGGTGATAATAAATTCCTCATGAAAGCAGTCAGACAGGGTTCAAAGGCAGGTCTAAGCAACTATTAGTGTTTGCTCTCACATTCAATAAGGGCCTGTGTGAGCTTCACTAAGGCTCTGAGAGCCCACTTTATCTGTAGTTGACCCTTGAACAATGATGGTTAGGGGCACTTGACACAGAGCAGTTAAAAACTGACCTTTAACCTTTGACTCTCCAGAAATTTAACTACGCACAATCTGTCATTGCCCAGGAACCTTACCAGCATCGTAACAGTTAATTCCATGGCTTTTGTGTGCTATTTGATTTATATGTGGCCAAAAATACAGAAGGATTGAGAAAGATGAGCTTGCTGCTGTATGCAGTTTACTGGTGAGATGTGGGATAATGTCACAGGGGCAGCTGACAACACTAGTCACTGCAGAAGCAGCAGGAGGTAGCTATGAATAGATGGATTCCATATTCCTTCCAAATTGTGGTGGTTGTTTTTGTTTGTTTGTTTAATGAAAACTACCCAGTTTGTTTCCAGGCTAGCATGTCTTGTTGGGGTATCTCTGTTTTTCTTGGTGAAGAAGGAACATAACCATGGTACAAGTACTTAATGACAAACTGAATCCTAATTGGGAAGTCTCATCTCTTCTAGGAAGAATATGATCAGCTTCCCCGAGACATTGTTAACACCAAACCTGATGTGCCCCTGTATGCCCAACTGAAGGCTGAAGATTTCATAGTGGATGTAAGTTAGTGAGCCCAAGAATAGATCAAGTGAAAAATTGTGTTTTTGGAAAAAAGCCAGAAAGCCTTCCCTCTGAGGGTGGTGGCTTTTAATCCCAGCACTCAGGAGGCAGAGACAGGCAGATGTGTGAGTTCAAGGCCATCCTGGTCTATGTAGTAAATTCCAGGAAAGCCAGGACTATGTAAAGAGACCCAGTCTCAAAAAACAAAACAAAATAAAACAAAAACCAAGGGAAAAAAAAAAAAAAGACCCTTCCTTCATTATGAAAAACTTGGAGAGTAGGAAGTGGTGATGTCCTGTTGAAATCTCAGCACTCAGGAAATAGAGGCAGAAGAAACACACATTTGAGGCCAGCCTTGTCTGCATAGTGAGCTACAGTCTAACCAGTACTGCATAGTGAGAACCTGTCTCAAAACAAACAGAACAACAAAGAAGCTGGAGAGATGGCTCAGAAGTTAAGGACTTTCTGCTCTTCCAGAGGACCAGGAAGGTCAGTGGCCAGCATCCATGTCAGGTGACTCAAAACCACCTGTAACTCCAGCTCCAGGATCCAATGTCCTCCTCCAATGCCTTCATGTGCACCCACACTCACACACAGACACACATGCATGCACTTATGTTTAAAAACATGTATGCAAAAAACCCAAAACTTGGAGACACAGATAGCTAGAAGGAAGAGAATCATCAACCTCAGAGAGAAAATCAACATTATCAGTCCTTTTCAAATTTTCTTTGTGATGTTCTGCCAGGATATTGAAATCATGTGATAAATAGCACATTGTATATGTTGATTTAAATTATTTTGGCTGTAAAAATACTACCAATTAGATATTTTTGCTTGCCTACATATATACACAGAACAGTTAAGATTTTTTTATTCCTATTTTCATGTGGCCATAGTGTCTTGGTGTACCCTAATGAAAAGCCCTGTATCCTTCTTGAGTTTTCGTCAATTCTCTGGAGGAAATTCTCTTCAGTGCTCCATTCCTCTGAAATCTCCGAGTGTTTACCTTGTGATTTTACCTCAGCTTCTCCTTTCTCATTTCCTTGGTGACAAATTCTTGCATGAAAAGCCATAACCATCCTTTGCCAAATACAATGAGTGGTCCAGGGAGCAAGGCTCTCCTGCGCTCCCTGAGACTTGGAACGACATCACTTCCCAGCATTCTCCCTGAGCACCTGTGGGCCAGCATGCCCTCCCTGGCTCCCTGTTTCACCAGAAGGCCTGTCTTGTTCTGAGGGCTGGGGGCAATCCCTCACCCTCCTATCTGACTTCTCTCACCCAAAGAACCATCTCCAGATGCATTTAGATCAAAGGTACATAATGCTACCTGTAGCAGACATGAAAGCCACTTTAACCAGTAATCAATCAAGTGAGGTCGATGGGATACAGCAGTGGACTGCTTTACATCAGCCTCACAAAAGCAAAGAGTGTTATACAATTCTGTGTTCATAAACCTACATGAAAACACAGAAGTGTAAGTTAGTACAAGAGGGCAAATTTAAAGTTTATTCTGAAACTGTAATCAACTCATCAATTTTACCCTAGGAATTTGTTCTACAGAGATCATCTCTATGTCCAAACCAGCTGCTGTCTGCTGAAAGCTTTTGGCACGGTTCAATCCTCTCTGCTCTGATTCCTGCCATTATCCTGAGTGACTTTTTTTTTTTCCCCACCAGGAGAAACTCTTTGATCTCTTTTTCTTTCTTTCTTAAGATTTATTTATTTATTTTATATGCATTGGGATTTTGCCTGCATGTCCATCTGTCTGAGGATGCCAGATCCCCTACAACTTGAATTAGATAGTTCTGCCCTGTGGGTGCTGGGAATTGAACCTGGATCCTTTGGAAGAGCAGCTACTGTTCTTAACTGCTGAGCCCTCTTTATTTTTATCCTTAGTGGCTGTGATGGTTGCTTTTCTCATTGATATGAGGAAACGTGACAAAGCAACTTAAGGCAGGACAGGTTTATTTTGTGTTCGTAGTTTGAGTTGATCTTGGTGGGGGAGGGGCACAGGGCACTAGGACTGTGAGGCAGCAGTGTTTACAGTAGGAAACAGACACAGATTACTGCTGGTATTCAGCCCCCTTCCTCCTCCTGTTTTTATTCAGTTCAGGACCCTGGCCCATAGGATGCTGCTGCCCATATTCAGGGTGGGTGTTCCCTCCTCAGTTAACCCTTTCTGGAAACATTCTCACAGCTTTGCCCAGATGTATGTCTGCTAGGCAATTCCAAATCCAGTCATGTGAATGAAAATTAACCATCGCAAGTTGGGGTGGTGGTGGCGCAGCCTTTAATTCCAACACTCAGGAGGCAGAAGCAGGCAGATCTCTTGAGTTTTGAGACCAGCCTGGTCTACAGAGTGAGTTCCAGGACAGCCAGGACTACACAGAGAAACGACGTTTTGAAGAAAAAAAAAAAAAACCAAGCCAGGAAGTGGCGGCACACTCCTATAGTCACAGCACTTGGGAGGCAGAGGCAGGTGGATCTCTGTGAGTTTGAGGCCAGCCTGGTCTACAGAGTGAGTTCCAGGACAGGTTCCAAAGCTACACAGAGAAACCCTGTCTTGAAATCACTAGCATAAGTATCTTTTTTTTGTAAGATTTATTTATTTATTATGTATACAGTGTTCAGCCTGCACATCAGAAGAGGGCACCAGATCTCATTATAGATGGTTGTGAGCCCCCATGTGGTTGCTGGGAATTGAACTCAGGACCTCTGGAAGAGCACCCAGTGCTCTTAACCTATGAGCCATCTCTCCAGCCCTAGCATAAGCATCTTGTTTTCTGTCTGCAAAGCCCTTTTCATTTCCTTGTCCCTAGTTCAGCTCATCTGGACACCCTATTGGCTCCTCACTTTCTTATAGCTATAGCCTATCCTACCTTTGTTTCTTTTTAATCAAACTTTGATTTTATGGTCATCATTAATAATTCCATCATTTCTGCAGTTACCACCAACCCCTCACCTTTTGCAACTGTTTAGCAAAAGTCCAAATAACCTAGGTGTGTTGATGCTAACCTCCTCCCTACCTATACCTGGCCACACAAATCCTGTTAGAGACATCACTACTCTGTGCATTCTTGGTCACCAACTTTATCTGGATCCTCTGTATTTTCTAGCAGGTTGAGTACAATTCTCCCAGGCGCCATAACAACTATGTAAAACCATCTTTACTCCATTCAGCCCTTCATCCCTGCTTACCAATCCTGGACATTCACCCTTAGTGAATAGCCCAACATGACCCCATGTTCAGATAATAAAAATAAAGGTACTTATATGCCATTGCATAGGTACTCTCTCAAACTTCAGTTTTCTCCCATCTGTAGCTGTTTTCATCTTCCCTTAGAGTAGAAAAATATCTTTCTCCTAATTAAAGACTTAGCCAGGCCAGGTATGGTGGCACATGCCTTTAATTCCAGCACTTAGGAGACAGAGGCAGGTGGATCTCTGTGAGTTCAAGGCCAGCCTGTTCTATATAGTGTGAGACCCTGTTTTTTGTTTTGTTTTGTTTTGTTTTGTTGTTGTTGTAGGTTTTTGTATTTTTAAAGGAGGCTCCTCCAGGCAGTGGTGGCACATGCCTTAATCCCAGCACTTGGAAGGCAGAGGCAAGTGAAGCTCTGTGAGTTCAAAACCAGCCTGAACTACAGGACAAGTTCCAGGACAGCCAGGGCTACACAGAGAAACCTTATCTAAAAAAGAAAAAACAAAGGGGGGAAAAACAAGAGAGACTCAGGAGGGGTGCTCTTCCTACTGTGTTTAGAACAGTACTGCCCAGTGGAACTTACTGTACTCACAGAAAGGCCTGTATCTGTGCTGCCGTTTTAAATGTGATTCCTAAGACTGAGAAATGATTTTATGTATTCTGTGTTAATTAATTTAAGTTTTACGTTATTGCTAGATGTGGTGGAATGGTAATGTATTCCCAGATACATGAGAGTTTGAGATAGACAGAAGGGTCACCTGAACTGGACAGCATGGGCCCAATAAGTAAAAATAAAAATAAGACATATGTGGCTAGTGACCACCACGCTTGGCGTTGCAGCTCTGGAGCCCATTGTGTTCATCTCTTCTGTAGAGCCCTACACTGCCCCTTCTGTCCTTCCTCCTACAGACTTGCCCATTAGCAGCAGTTAGACAGTCTTCTCTCTGAAGAAAACTACCACACTGCACTCATCTTGCTCCCTTTCCTCTCCTTCGGGGACAAACTCATGGAAAGGCCTTCTGAATTCTTATGTTTTCCTCTAGATATAAGCAAATGTACCCCTTATCCAAAATCTGAAACCTGAAATATAAAATGTTACAGAATCTAGAGCTGGGAATTTGGCTCAGTGGTAGAACACTTGCCTACCATTCTCTTATATTTTTGGTTGTGAGCCTAGCCTGTAATGGCTGAGCCATCTCTCTAGCCTGCCTATCATTCTCTATGCCGTTAGTTCAATCCCCTGTGCATGCACGCACACACATACACACACACACACACACACACACACACACACACACACACACACACACACAAGAGACATGGGGATATATGCTTGCCAGGCCACAGCTAGGGAGGCAGAGACAACTGAATCCCTGGGGCTCATTGGCCTATAGCCTTAGTGACTTGGTGAGCTCCAAGCCAGTGAGGCCCTGTCTCGGGTGGGGTGGGGGGGAAGTACATGGCATCTGAAGAATGACAGCCAAAGTTGACATCTGATCTCCTTTTGGACATACCCATACACACAAAAGATGATCATCTACTTTCTACCGGTGTCTATCACACAGTAGATATTGCCCTACTTAGTTAAATAATACTCAAACATACTTCCCCTCCACCCAAGTTTCTAAACCAAATCCCCAAAGTTAGTAATGTACCAGAGTTTTGGGGGGGTGGTTTTGTTTCTTTGGGGGGTTTTTTGGCTTTTGTTTGTTTGGTTGGTTTTGGTTTTGGTTTTGGTTTTTTTGGTTTCTCTGTAGCTCTAGCTGTCCTGGAACTCACTATGTAGACCAGGCTGGCTTTGAACTCACAGAGATCCACCCGACTCTGCCTCTTGAGTGCTGGGATTAAAGGCTGCACCACCACCGCCTGGTGTACCAGAGTTACTTTTATTCCACGTTACAGCCTCCTAACATTCCTACTTCTGAACACCCAGAGGGCTCAGTTCATTTCTTGTGTTGTACTTACAATCCTGAGTTCAGTTCCTGTGATTGTTATGTGGTTACTTATTTATTTTATTTTTTTAATTAAGGTTATCAACATGGATTATGGGATGAAAGACAAGAATCCAATTGACCATGTTCACTTCTATTGTAAAAATAACACGAAGCACGCAGTCAAGATCTCTAAAGATCAGGTAACTGGCTAAATAGAGAATCCTACTCTAAGGTATATATTTGGAAAGTCTTTTTTTTTTTTTTTTTTTTTTTTTTTTTTTTTTTTTTTTTTGAGGAAGGGTTTTTCTGTGGCTTTGGAGGCTGTCCTGGCACTAGCTCTTGTAGACCAGGCTGGGCTCTAACTCCCAGAGATCCCCCTGCCTCTGCCTCCCGAGTGCTGAGATTAAAGGTGTGCGCCACCACCGCCCGGCTTATATTTGGAAAGTCTTAAAGACAACTTATTGTACATGGCAGTCGGGTTGAAAAGCCAGTGTCTACTGTTAAGAAATAAATGAAGGCACAGTCCACTGAGTCAACTAAGCAGGGACTTGCAGAGACTGAAGCAGCAGCCACAGGGCCTGCAGGGGTGTGCACAGGTCCTCTGCATATATGTCATGGCTGTTAGCTTGGTCTTTTTGTGGGACTCCTTACTGTAGGAGTGGGTATCTCTCTGACTCTTTCGCCATTCCTGAGACCCTCTTCCTCCTGTTGGTTGCCTTGGCCAGCCTTGGTGTGAGGGCTTTTGCCTTGTTTTATTGTTACTTTGTTTTGTCATGTTTAGTCATTGTCTCTTTGAGGCCTGCTCTTTTCTGATGGGAAAAGGAGAGTTGTAGATCCAGAAGAAAGGGGAGGTTGGGGAAGCTGGGCAGACTGTCGGGAGGAGAAACTGGTCAGGATGTATTGTCTGAGGAAAATCTACTTTCAATTAAAAAGAAAGAAAGAAGGCAGGCCTAGAGAGATGGCTCAAGTGATTAAGAGCACTTGTAGCTTTTGCAGAGGATGCCAGTTTGATTCTTAGCCTGTACATGGTGTGTATGCATACATATACACACATATAAATAAAATTAATAAATCTAATATTTTTAAAGTAAAGTGTAAGCCAAGTATGCTAATGCACACTTGCAGTCCCGAATTTGAGGAGCAAAGGGGGGATGCAAAAGGATCAGGAGTTAAAGGCCAGCCTGGTATACAGGAGACTCTGTCTCAAAATAAAGTAAAACAACAATTTAAAATATCTATATCTAACTGGGCACAGTGGCACACACCTTTAATCCCAGTGCTCCAGAGGCAGAGTCAGGTGGCTCTTTGTGAGTCTGAGGCAGCCTGGTCTATATGATGAGTTTCAGGCCACCCAGGCTAACTATAGTGAGACCCTTTCTCAAAAAATAAATAAATAAATAAAGAAGTAGATATAAATAGATACATGGATATCTGGATGTAGTGGTACAGACCTTTAATCCCAGAAGCCTGAAGCTGCAGGATCACAGGTTCAAGACCTGCCAGTACTATGAAGTGAATTCAGGGCCAGCCTAGGCAACCTAATAAGACACCTTGTCTCAAAATAGGAAGGTGGGGTAGAGAAACCGAGAGCTAGCGATGTAACTCAGTGCAGTGTTTTGTTTGAAGCTTTGGTTATAAAATCTAGTGGGACAGGCAGTTGAAATTAATTATATAAGCTAAATGTGCCTATCTGCATATCTTATATGAGAGTCTATGTATGGTTGTGTCCTGTAAATCTTTCAGTCTTTTAGTAACTAATATAAAATTCTGAGGCATTTTGCAGTAAATAATTATTTTTCCCCTTGGATTATAATTGGGATAAAATAGGAAAGCACTGCAGTGCTTTTAACTCAACATTAAAAGTGGTACCCCAGACCCTGGGAGGCAGCTGGTTCCTAGAAGTGTGAACTCAAGCAAGATCTTTTCTTTTTGTAAAAAAGGTGTCAAAGCTTCTGCCACAGAAATTCACAGATCAGCTCATTCGAGTGTACTGTAAGAAGAAAGACAAGAAGAGCCTGCATGCTGCTAGGCAACATTTCACTCAATGGTGTGCAGACAGAAACTTCACCAAGCCACAGGTGGGTGACGCTTCACATCCTCGAACAGAAAGAGAGAAAATGGAGTCTGAGAGTTGGGGTGAGACAGGGTCCTTCGTAGCTCAGATTGGTCTCAGATTTGCTGTGTGCCTGAGAATGGCCTTGAATTCCTGACCCTCCTGCTTCACCTTCCAAGTATGGGAGTACAGGTATGCAACAGTACAGGAGCCTGGCATGGTTTTTGATTTTTAAGGAAAATCCAAAGCCAATCCTTTTTACCACTGAGAAGTTCTCGTTTAAATTGTAGCTAAATGGGGCTGGAGAGATGGCTCAGCAGTTCCAGAAGACCCTGGCTCAATTCCCAGCGCCCACATGGTGGCTCACAATCAGCTGTAACTCCAGTTCCAGAGAATCTGATGCCCTCTTGTGGTCTCTGTGGGTACCAGACATGCAGGTGGTGCATACCCATGCATGCATACACATAAAACAAAAAATGTAGGAGGAAAAATCCTAAAAAAAAGGTGGAGAAGTGATGAAGAAGGCACCCAATGTTACCCTGTGGTTTCCACATGTGCCTGCATAGTCAGGATCACCTACACACGCACAGTACACATGCATGCATATATGTGACATAATGCACACCACACACATACACACACATCACACACACACACACACACCAAGCATGCATACCTCATACGTATATACAATACACATATATTACACACAACACACATGCACACATATATACCACATACATTCCTACAGTACACATATATCACACACAATACGCTTACACATATACACCACACACACCATATACATACACATAGTTTTTTGTTGTTGTTTGTTTTAAGGAAAAGGGAAATAAAAGCACCGGCATATGTGATAAGTTCCTTAAACCTAGGTATATTAACTCATCAGATGAATTGGCTTGGTTTGTTTCTTGTCGGGCCCTGTATTAGGTACAAGGATGAGGCAGTACCTAAGACAGATAAAGTTCCTCATTGCTCTGGGTCTCACTCTAGATGTGGACCACAAACACGAAAGTAAACAGCAATTGTGTAGCACAGTGAGTGTTTTGGGGTGCAGAAGGAGATCTAACCAGACTTGGTTAGATAAGATAAGCCTGCCCCGGGAAAGCTTGCAAACCAATTCCTGAAAGAGAAAACTCAGCGGCTCTTTACAGGGCTGGCAGCAGGGGCTGGTGTTAGGGAGGTGTTGAGACAGAAGCAACATGGGATGGCTGAGAAGGTAACAAAGAACACAAGGCCTTTCAGGAACAGTACTGAGTGTGAGGAATTTTCTCCCATCCAGTATGCCAGGGGCAGCCTGGAGCCATTGAGTTGGGGTGAGTGTGCATTTTTAACATTTCCTAGAGTTGAAGTCAGAAGGAAGGGTGATGGAAATAGGAGTTTGACAAATACTGCTGCCTTTGAAATGAACAATAGTAGCTCACAAAAGCCCTGTCAAGCCAGATCCAGTGGGTTCAACAGAAGACATTTAACATGGGGTGTTTAAAAAGCTTTGGTAGAGCTAAGTGAACAAATGGCAGACAGTGAGACAATGCCTGGACGATGCCACTGCCTTCTCAGAGAGGCTGAGGGGGCAGGTGGGAGGTCAAGAGCTGTGGTCCCTTCCAGGAGCTGGAGCCATATAATGGTAATGGCTGCAGGAGATGCCCAGGCTTCTCTGCCTTTCTCACCTCACCTGAGAAGCCACTAAGCATGAGGGCTATCAAAGGCCTCTGAGAAGAGCAGCTGCTGTGTTTGAGTGGAGCACAAAGGGATGATAAGTACCTGAGAGTAAATGGGCAAGAGCCTTGTCCCAGGAGGCGGGCTAGAGAGCCTAGCTGCTCATGCTCCCTCCTGTAAGGTCATTATGTAAGCTGAGGCAGCCTCCCCCTAAGGTGGAAGGGTGCATTTGGCTGGATCCTTTGGTAATAGGGCCAAATTTAAGAGGCTCATTTAAAGAGAAAGATTCAAATTCAACAAGTAGTCATAGTCCCAATGTCCCAGTTGTTATTTGTCCCCATGCTTCCCTGTCCCCCTCGATGTTCTCCCCCATTTGCAGACCTGGGTCCTTTGTTTTAGAGGAGACTGGGAAAAAGAGAAGCAAGAATCCAGTGTAGCTTCTGTTTCTCCAAGAGTCCCACATAGGTGTGTGAACTCAGCCAATTCTTGGCAGTAGTGTGCTGTGTCTCAGTCATAGACACAAGAAATCTGTGTGCAGGACAGGGGTATGTGTGCCTGAGATGCAACCCAAAATACAATGATGGAAACAGGCTTTTCTCTGTGCCCTGACTTTCTCTCTCTCTTCAATAGGATGGTGACATCACAGCCCCACTTATAACACCTCTGAAATGGCAAAAAGAAGCTACAGGTCACTGCCAAGAAGCATCCAAAGTCAAAACATGCCTAAAATTTTAAGTGAATGCTTGCAATTGGTCCTTTATGAAACCCCTCTTCACAATTAAGTTAGGAAGTATAATCAGAGTCCACTAGTGATTTTTATTTAGTATTTTGAATGTACACACATGATGAAGGGTAAGTCATTTTTATTCAGAACGAAAAATGGTAATAGTAGCAAAAGTTTGCTATGCTTACTGTGGAGTTCAAATGAGAATGACCCTATAAACTCCTATAATTGAATGCTTAGTCACCAGGGAGTGACACTGTTTGAAAGGATTACAAGGATCAGGAGGTATGGCCTTATTGGAGGCAGTGTGTCACTGGGGGTGGCCTTTAATGTTTCAAAAGCCCTTGCCAGGTCCAGTCTCTCTTTCTCTGTTTGTGGGTCAGTAGCGCTCAGCTACTGCTCCAGCACCATGCTCCCCACTGTGATGATGGTGGACTAAGCCTCTAAAGCTGTAAGCAAGCCCCCAATTAACTGCTTTCTTTCACAAGTGTTGCCTTGGCCATGGCATCTCTTGACAGCAATAGAACAGTGACTAAGACACATGCTATGAAAAGTATGAGCTTCTGCATTTTTAACATTAATTGAAGCCTTTCTCCTTTAGCAACCTATTTTTTCAGGATAACTCCCATTTCTTCTGAACTCTTGGGACAAATGATTCTCTTTTGTTTTTAATTTAGAAGTTGAGACAAGGGCACAAATTGAAATTCAAAGTTGAAATTGTCACACACCACATGGTTAAAAAATAAAAATCCTAGCCCCCCTGAAAAGGTGCCCCTCACCCTGCTTCTCCCAGGAGAGAAAGCCACCAACCCCCTCTATCCCTGTTAAGTGCCAGGCTGGGGGAAAATCAGGGGGCAGCTCTTTGTTGAGAGGAATTGAGGTGTGCCAGGCAAGTCTTCTACCACTGTCCTGCAGCTCCACCCCTGTCTCCTAGTGTAACCCTCCTGCCCCTGCTGTAGGAGGTGCTAGGGTCAAAGGGTACCTCACACCAGGCTGTCTCTGAATCTGCTGTGGCTGTAGCCCCAGACAAGCTCAGCTTCTTTGCACCTGAAACCATTCCAGTTCCAAGGGACATACTGCTGCCATCCTGGGGACAGACCTTCTTCTGCCTCTTCGGAGTTGGACTGGTCAACTGTTCAGAGAACACCACAGACCCCATCCTGACTACTCACACCTGGGATTTCACCACCAATACTTCATTGCGTTTACAAGTTTCAGAATATTCTGGACTGTGTTTGTGAACGTCGTGGCCACCCTGTGGGTCCCAGGTTCCCCCATGTAGCCTGCTGCTCCTAGCAGAACAGAATGATGATGGTTGAGCAGTCACCCATGCTGCTCCCCTCAGCCGCGCTGTGCACAGCTTCACCCAGAACCAAGTCTAGTTGGAGCCAAAGGGGGTAGAAGTGCTGGAGACATGGGCCGCAGGGATAGAGAGCAGCAGCTGCAGATGACATCTTAGTGACGACGCTCCCCTAATTCAGGTGGCAGCCCTGGAAGTGAGCAGCTTGAGTATACATACCTACAGGTTGCCTGTGTGTGCCACCTCTCCCTCTGGGTAGCCAGGTTCGATTTTGTCTACTTGTGGGTAAAAGAGTACTTGGTGTGTCTGCCTCTATGGGTTCATAAACGCACAAGGGAGGTGCTAGCTTGCCCCTGCAAGCCACGTGCCTCTATAACATTCAGGGAGATGGCCAGGGGTCACACCTTCATACGCCCAACCTCAATGTCAAGAATGATCTATTTTTCTGCTACTATTGGTTTATTTTTGCTAGTCTTATTTTTAAATCCTTGTGGTTTATTCTGGAATTTTGTAGTCCTAATTTTGTACCGTGGTATCCTGGAAACATCTCTGACCCCTTTTATGCACAAGACAGCTATATTGTATGCCTTTGAAGCTTTTTTCATTGTGAGTACCTGTATTGTTTACAAAACTGCATAAAAATGGAGATTTTAACAGATTGGGCCTCCAAGTCACTGAACACTGTCAGCTTGATGTAACTAGAACCACAGGTTGAGTGATGGTGACTTCAGCTGGGGGACAGAAACAGCTACAGTAAAGCTGTCATGAATGTACTTCTATCAGAGGTATGCTCCTTAATTACCATCTCCTCACACCCTGTGTGCCTGGTTTGGATTCCTGTGCAAAGGAATATGTTTTCTATAGGACCCCTGGAGATGTTTCATGGTGTCACAACACTGTGTTGGGTCTGTAAGACATTAGTATTGATATAGTTTGCTCCCTTCCAGCAGGAGACAGACGCTGCATGAAACAGGTCATGGAGCCTTACTTCACAAGGCTCTCGTGTCTGAAAATGAACTCTTTCCTGTCTGCAAAGGTTCAGCGTCTTTGCCCAAATATACATATTGTTCATTTGTAGCTTTTACTGCTCTCCCATGAAATCAAGTAACAGATGTTGTGAGAACCTGACCCATTGGCAGCATCCAACTCCACCTGTTGGCTTCTAGAAGAGACAGCAAGGCAAAGAGTGAAACGATGCTCCTATTCTTTATTAGTTTCTAGTAGCTGAGCCCAGGTTTCTGAGGCTTGACAGCATTCAAGTAAAAGTAATCTCTAAAACACAAAATAGAAGTGTGTGTGTGTGTGTGTGTGTGTGTGTGTGTGTGTGTGTGTGTGTGCTTGTATACACACCCTACTTGTTTGGAAGGATGGAAATGTTATTGATGTTTGTTTGTATTGGCTTTTTGTTTGTTTGAGTCTTCTGAGTTCTCTAGGAATTGTCCTATAAGACAAATGCCATGCTTCTTCAGTAAGAGTGTCTTTTACACCTTCACAGTCAACTTGTTGAAGAATAGCAGCTGCCCCTGTCCCTGACCTGTGTTTTCAGGCCATAAGGAGGCCGGCTGAGAGCCACAGCCCATGTGAGGGTTCTTCACCATCCTGAGTCAGGCAGAATGACTGTCCTGTGTGAGGAAGGTCTGGGCAGCATCTGAAAGTTACCCAAGCATCTCTGGTCGTGGGAGGTGTCAGCTCAGAGCCCAGGCCTCCAGCTCCTCGATACAAAATTGTTCCTGCCGGGCCAGCACTTCATTGTTGAAGGTAGCACAGGGGTAGCTTCCCCCATGGTACAAGTCTCCATCCAACCACAGCCCGAACTGGCCACTAAAGAGAAGATGAAATGGGCTGTAGAGATGGCTCAGTTGATACAGTGTCTGCTACACAAGCATGAAGCATGAGGACCTGACCTCAGCACCAGCATAAAAATTCAGGCAGGGGCTGGCTGTTCTCCCAGAGGACCCGAGCTCAATTCCCAGCACCCACACAGCAGCTCACAGCTGTCTGTAACTCCAGTTCCAGGGTTTCTGATACCTTCACACACATAAAGTTATATATATATATAAAAAAAAGTAAGCAGGGTGTTGGTGGCGCACGCCTTTAATCCCAGCACTTGGGAGGCAGAGACAGGTGGATCTCTGTGAGTTTGAGACCAGCCTGGTCTACAAGAGCGAGTTCCAGGATAGCCTCCAAAGCCACAGAGAAACCCTGTCTCGAAAAACCAAAAAAAAAAAAAAAAAAAAAAAAAAGGTCAGGCAGGTCACATTCTATCTGCAGCCCCCCCATCACAGAGAGAGTAAAGACAGGCTACAGAGCTTCCTGGCCAGCCAATCTAGCTAGTCAGTGAGAGATCTCCAAAGATATGGTGGAGATAGACTGTGGAACACACCTGATGTCAACTTCAGTCTCCACACACACACACACACACACACACACACACACACACACACACACACGCCAAAAAAGGAAATCTTGCCACAGTTGTAGCATATAGTAGGCGTATGGGACTGACCACCATCGTCAGCCTTAGCCATTGTATCTCCATCATAGTTCTCATCCAGGACTGGGGGGGAGGGAGGGTCTCCTCACGTTGTGCTCTATAACATCCAGAGCATTTTTTTTAAACAATCCATTAATTTTAATAACTATAGACCATGGTATAGCCATCACCTCAACCCTGTTTTGGGACATTCTAATCCTCATGTTTGACAGAAAACCTAGGCTGGAAGCAGAAAGTAGCTGGTGTGTCCTATACCCTGCTGCCTCTCCATGGAGCTGTGCTAATGTAGGAATACTTTAATTCAGGTACAACTTAATGTGCTTCAATGTGAAGTTCAGACTAAGATGACACTAACCAGTTGGTCCACTCTCCTCACCTGAATTAAAGGAGGGTTGGTTGAGTGTGGGCCAGCTGTTGGGCTGATGCTAGAGGGCACTGAAGTCAGCTTGAAAGACTCAGCTGTCCCTTCCACCTGCAGCACCCTTGGGTGGAAAATAGGCCGCCCCAAGATATGGAAGAGGGGGACAGGGACACACACCTTCCACTGCCCATCATCAGTGAGTCCAGGTCTCCTTTCACAAAGAAAGAGTTGCTTCCTGTCCACTTAAAGACCTGGTGAAAAGAAAGGCTGGGTTACTTTTGAGTGCTGTCCTTGCAGTTTGACTGCAAGCCACATGGTGACAGTGTTGTGCAGTGAAATCTTCAGTGAAACCAGAAGATTTCCATTTCCTTGGACTCCACCCCTTATGCCCTCTGCCTTGGATCTCCTACATCCTAGCAGTTCCTTCATGCTAGCAATAAAACAAAACCTCTGAGACTTCCTGCTTTCAAAGATGGAAAGAGAGGAAAGAACAGGCCTGGAGTTGGGGTGAAACTGCCTCCCAGCCAACTTATCCCATGACCTCCTGTGACTTCTCTGTCCCACCATCTGGGGGCATAGCCTTCTGCTGGTCTTGTCCCCCTCCATATACTGCCCACAGTCCTCTCCATAGTGTTCTGAATGGCCCATCCCAGCCCTAAATCACTCTGTACGTCTTCTAAAGCCTTCGGACTCTCCCCACTGTGAAGGAGACAGAATCCAGCCAGAGTGCACCTGCAGCCGTCCCTCTCTATCTCTTACAGACTGCACCTGAGCCAAACTGACCTTTCTGTTCAGGGCCTTCCTATTTTCAGACTCCTCTGCCACAAGCTCCCCACAATCCCGTCCTCAAAAGTCACTCCTTACCCTACAACATGAGTGTCATTACAGACAGCCCCTGTTTGATATCCCTAGGCATCTACCCCCTCTGAGACGACGGCTCCATTCCTGTAGCAATGTGTCTTGTCTCTATCCACCCCACTACAATCTAAATTCCAGGAGAGCTGCCCAGGTGCCCTGCTAGACTCATCAAATAAAAGTGAATATCTAAGAGCCAAATTGGGTAATTGAAACAAACAAAAAAAAAAAAAACACAATCCTGAGGAACAGAAAGATAAAGGACCAAGCTGAGAAGGGATAAGATAAAGTGAACAAGTGACCACAAGAAGACAGATGGGATCGCCCAAGACTATTGTACTTCCTCTGCTTTCTCCAAGGACATGTCCTTCTAATTTAAAAGAGCAAGATAAACATTGCTACAGAAGAAACCAAACCAAGGCAAAGTTCTTCCTGTAATTTTTTTTTTTTTTTTTTTTTTTAGCACTTACACACCAGGCACAGTTAGGCATTGAGTAGAATAGCAGACATAATGACCAAAACATCTTCCTCATACAACACTTCAGGAAGAGATAGATCAATAAGAGAAACGGTATGTTATAAATGCTAGTGACAGAGGACACACAGAGAGGCGATAAAGTTTTCAGGGAATGGTCATTTAAAATAAAGTAGTCAGGGGCTGGAGAGATGGCTCAGAGGTTAAGAGCACTGACTGTTCTTCCAGGGGTCCTGAATTCAATTCCCAGCAACCACATGGTGGCTCACAACCATCCGTAATGAGATCTGGTGCCCTCTCTGGCCAGCAGGCAGACATGCAGACAGAACACTGTATACATAATAAATAAATCTTTTTTAAAAAATGAAATAGTTCCTGCGACAGCCATAGTAGGGCAGTCCTGGTGATTCAGTGGAGGCGCGTGCTGACTAGAACGGCACATGCAAAGCTCCGAGGCAGGGGTGGGCCTGTGTGTTTGCCTTCCAGCTTAGGCCAGCATTGCTGGGGCAGAGTGATGGGAAAAATAAATAACCAGTATTAGAAAGAGGTGGAAAAGAGCTTTCAGTATGTGGAGGACAAGAGAAGAGCCTCAGAGGAAGCAAGAGAGGCCATCAAAGATAACCAAATCCCCAACTCTGATGATAGGAACCAGCAAGAGGCTCCAACAGGAACTGTGGTACAAGAAGAATATTCGAGAACTTTGGAGTTCTAGTACCAGCGCAGGAAGGAGGGTGTCAGTGATCAGCCTACAGTCTTGGTGGCCCTGAGTAACTGACCCCTTTGCATCTCTCGCAAGAAGGGAAGGTGGCTTGCAGCTGATAGAGGCTGTGCAACAGACCGGGTATGTAATTTTGTCATTAGTAAGGCGGTCCACACTCCTGTGACAGTCTTGTGAGACTGTGTGGCAAAGTGTATTTGAGGGTGTCTGTGCATTGAAGGGGAGACCTAATAGCAAACAAAAGCCATCCACAACTACTTCTCCATCCATAAAAGTATGAACAAATAGTTCTCAAGGGCACACTAAGCAAATACATGTTCTACCTCACACACGGACCCTGTCCACCTTGTGGTTCCTGCATGTGCACACAGCCACCCCCACCCCATCCTCTGCCTCCAGAGTGTCCTGCCTGAATTCACATTCTAGGGTTGGTTTCCACATCTCCCTTCACCACTGACTGAGTCAGACATGTTACCAACCTCTCTGTGCCTCGGTTCCCTCATCTGTAAGATGGGGCAATAACAGCATACACGTGGAATTTTTCCCCCTGAGACGGTGTTTCTCTATGTATCCCTTGCTGTCCTGGAACTCACTCCATAGACCAGACTGGCTTTGAACTCACAGAGATCCACCTGTCTCTGCCTCCTAAGTGCTGGGATTAAAGACATGCACTGCCATCCACCTCCCAGTCATCTGTGGCATTTTTTTCAATGACTGAATGTACTATTTTGTGGGGTGGTAAATGTGGTCCCGTG